TCAATACTGCAGCAATTTGTATATATAAAAAAAAAAAAAAACAGTTTTATCACCCCTCGTGGGGTGGTATGTGTCATCCTCAAGCTCGGGTCCTCTACCAGAGGCCTGGGAGTTTGAAGGTTCTGCGCAGTATCTTAGCTGTTCCTAGGACTGCGCTCTTCTGGACAGAGACCTCTGATGTTTTACCTGGAATCTGCTGTAGCCACTCTCCCAGTTTGGGGGTCACAGCCCCCAGTGCTCCAATTACCACTGACACCACTGCTGCTCTCATTTTCCACATCTTTTCTAGCTCCTCCTTCAGTCCTTGGTATTTCTCAAGCTTCTCGTGTTCTTTCTTCTTGATGTTGCTGTCGCTTGGGATTGCCACATCTATCACTACTGCCTTCTTCTGCTGTTTGTCGATCAACACGATGTCTGGTTGGTTAGCCATCACCTGTTTGTCAGTCTGGATCTTGAAGTCCCATAGGATCTTAGCTCGGTCATTCTCAACTACCTTAGGAGGTGTCATCCATTTTGACCTTGGGGCTTCCAGCCTATACTCATGGCAGATGTTCCTGTACACTATGACAGCTACCTGGTTGTGGCGTTCCATGTATGCACTTCCTGCCTGCATTTTACACCCTGCTGTTATGTGCTGTATTGTTTCAGAGGCATCTTTGCACAGTCTGCATCGGGGGTCCTGCCTGGTGTGGTAGACCCTGGCCTCTATTGATCTTGTACTGAGTGCCTGTTCTTGTGCTGCCATGATTAGTGCCTCTGTGCTGTCCTTCAGTCCAGCCTTTTCCAGCCACTGGTAGGATTTTTTGATATCAGCCACTTCTTCTATTTGTCTGTGGTATACGCCGTGCAGCGGCTTGTCCCTCCATGATGGTTCTCCTTCCTCTTTCTTGTCCTCACTTTCGGTTTTCTCCTGCCTGAGGTACTCACCGAGCCATTTGTCTTTGGGGGCCATCTTTCTGATGTACTCCTGGATCTTAGTTGTTTCATCCTGGACAGTGGTCTTGACACTCACTAGCCCTCGGCCTCCCTCGCTACGCTTGGTGTACAGTCTCAGTGCTGGATTTGGGGTGGAACCCTCCATGCATTGTGAGGAGCTTTCTCGTCTTTATGTCAGTAGCCTCTATCTCCTCCTTTGGCCAGTTTATTATACCAGCGGGGTATCTGATGACTGGTAGGGCATATGTGTTGATCGCTTAGATCTTGTTTTTCCCATTCAGCTGGCTTTTCAGGACCTGCCTTACTCTTTGTAGGTATTTTGCTGTGGCAGTCTTTCTTGCCATCTCCTCGTGGTTTCCGTTAGCCTGTGGCACCCCAAGGTATTTGTAGCTGTCCTGAACATCTGTTATGTGGCCTTCTGGTAGTTCAACCCCCTCGGTTCTGATCATCTTCCCTCTCTTTGAGACCATGGGATCGCACTTGTCCAGTCCGAATGACATCCCAATGTCGTTGCTGTAGATCCTGGTAGTGTGGATCAGTGAGTCGATGTCTCGCTCACTCCTGGCATACAGCTTGATGTCAACCATGTAGAGGAGGTGACTGATGATTGTTCCGCTTCGGAATTGGTATCCGTAGCCAGTCTTTGTGATGATCTGGCTGAGGGGGTTCAGGCCTATGCAGAACAGCAGCGGGGATAGTGCATCACCCTGGTATATGCCGCACTTGATGGTGACTTGTGCTATTGGCTTTGCATTGGCTTCCAGACTTGTTTTCCACAGCTTCATTGAGTTCTTGATGAAGGCTATTAGAGTCCTGTTGATCTTGTACATTTCCAGGCATTCCAGTATCCATGTATGTGGCATTGAGTCATAGGCTTTCTTATAGTCAATCCAGGCAGTGCACAGATTTGTCTGCCTGGTCTTACAGTCTCGGGTGACTGCTCTATCCACTAGTAGCTGGTGTTTGGCTCCTCTGGTGTTGCTGCCTATTCCCTTCTGGGAAGGGTGCATGTATTGAGCCATGTGCCTATTCATCTTAGCCGCTATGATGCCTGACAGGAGCTTCCATGTTGTACATAGGCAAGTTATTGGCCGGTAGTTGGATGGGGTTGTTCCCTTCTGCGGATCCTTCATGATCAGGATTGTCCGTCCTTGGGTTAACCATTCTGGGTGGGTCCCATCCATCAGCAGTTGGTTCATTTGTGCTGCGAGGCGTGCATGAAGTGCGGTTAGTTTTTTCAGCCAGTAGGTGTGGATCATGTCAGGGCCTGGTGCTGTCCAGCTCTTCATACCTGCCGCTCTTTCTTGGACATCTGCCATTGTAACGGTTACTGGTTCTTGTTCTGGGAGATTGCTGTGATCTGTTCTTAGATCTTCCAGCCACTGAGCATTGGTGTTGTGGGATGCCTCCTTCTCCCATATGTTTCTCCAGTAGTGTTCAGTCTCAGCCCTGGGTGGATCTGATCTTGAATTACCCTGCCACTGTGAGTACACTTTGGATGGGTTGGTGGAGAACACCTGGTTTATTCTCCTGGCTTCTGCTTCTCCCTTGTATCTCTTTAGGCGGGTGGCCAGGGCGGCGAGTCTTTGTTTGGCAGTTTCCAGAGCCTCAGGAATCGACAGCTTGTTGTACTTAGGTAGCCTCTTCCCTACACCTTTCTGCAGGTCTGAGAGCTGACTAACCTCTCTTCGTGTTGCCTTGATTTTGACTTCCAGCCTTCTTCTCCATGGGGGCTCTGCTTTGTGGCCTGTGGTGTTTATCTTATAGCCAAGCATCTCTAGGATCACTGTAGCTGTGGCGTAGGTCAGCTCATTGGTCTCAGTTATATCTTTAGTAGGGATAGTATGTAGTGCTGCATTTACATCTTCTAGAAGACTTTCAGAGGGTACTCTGTCACTTAGCCTTGGCAGTCTTGGTCGTCGTACTAGGGGATCCAGTTTCGTTATGATCTGCTGTCGCAGGTCAGCTGCCCTTACGTTTACTGGCCTTGTTGTTGTTGGGGCTGGGGACCCAGTCTCTTTGTGTTGGGTTGATTATATTTCCCTACTGACCTGTTGTCCTGACTCCCCCTTGCCGCAGCATGTCAGTTGTACCTCGTCAATTTCTAGCTGTGATAGGAGCTGCCGTTTGCGGATGTTAGAACGCTGAGTTAGTAGTTGTTTCTTTGTCAATGATGACAATGGTTGTTGGAGCTGCCATAATTCCCATAGTCTCTGCATGTAACCTCTCTCACTGGGGACGCTTGTATAGTAGCATTTCATCAGTACCAAGTTTTCTGCTCTAGTCCATCTATGTCTTGTTCCAGTAGCCAATTTATATATATATATATATATATATATATATATATATATATATATATATATATATATATATATATATATATATATATATATATATATATATATATATATAAATACAAAATAATAATTTTGTTTTTTTTTTGGCAACACTGTCCTGACTAGACTGGCACAAAATCAAATCAACACTAAAACCATGCAGAAGCAATACCTCTCAAAAAATGTGAATATAATCTAAGATACTACTTTTAATATAAGATTTTCTTTCTTTTGTTTGCATTTTTTTACATAAATTTCAGGATTCTGAAAACTAATGTTAATTTCTCTGCATTCAGTATTTGGTTGCACCTCCTTTAGGGTGAATTGCTCGATCAATACCGCTTGGCATGGGGGTGATTAGGCAGAGGCACCACTGAGGTGTAATGAAAGCCCTCTGGTCATCTACATTGTTGGAAATGGTGTCTTTTATCGTCCTTTACAGGATATCATAGATCCCCTATGGGTTTCAGGTCAGCAAAGTTTGTTACTGTAGCCAATCAATTACAATGACACCCTAGTCATTGACAAACAGGTATTTGTCAGTGTAAACATGGAGGACTTGCTAAATTCAGAATCAAAGTAGGCAGATCACAGTAATGTTAAAGTAACCAGATCTTGTGCGATTTTCAACCGTATGGACTAATTGTGTGTGCATAAATGTGAGTGGAATGGTGAACTATGTGTAAAATAGTGATGCAAGTATTTAAAGATAGATAGTACATTTGTAATTGTAACGAAATGGGGCAGCTCCTGGATCAGTCATGGATTGAAGGAATGCAGCATTAATAGCCCAGATTATGCTTCTGTGCGGTGCTTCATGCAGTGATCCAGCCTCAGTCTGCTCCCTGTGAAGCTCCCTCAAATTCTTGAGGCTGCAGTTATCACTGTTACTGAAGCACCTTTTGGTACCAGATATAATTTTTTTTTTTTGAACTAAAATCCAAAATCATCACGATTAAAAGATAAAAGAAGCATGAATTTTTCCCTCTGTGTGATATAAAAAAAAGTGTGTATGACTTAACATATAATACTCTTTCTGAAAGAGAGTTGCAAATAATATTGACATTTTATTTTCAGAAAATTTTCAAGTTTATTAAAAGCAAAATACTTATATAGCATTTCTTTTTGCTGTTGTTTTTTTGTTCGTTTTTATGTTACAGCCAAAAACACAAATTGGTTTTATTTGGATTTGGATAAAAAAATTATAGTGCATAACTTTGAAGTGGAAGGAAACATTGTGTTCTTTTTTTCCTCATGAATTTAAATCTGAGACCTGATTTTGCTCATTGGTCTGCTTTTAATAAACTGAGTCAAAGCTGAAGGACAGCCTGATCACAGCAATATACAATTTATAGGTATCCCTTCACCGCCCTCTAGTGGTTTAAAATGTAACTATAGATTAGAGACCATCGATGTAAAGACATTGATTTTACATTGAGAGTTGAATGAACTATTTTTAAAATGTAAGGTGATAACTAAATGAAGAAAAAACTGTTGCAGTCTGTAAAATCGAAATTACCTAAATAAAATGCATCACAGTAGTTTTGAGAGCATGAAAATCAGTGTATGTTTTTGAAAGCTGGTCTGCAAATATATGTATGCAAATGTATTTTTTCTTTTATTTCTTATTATGCATTTATTTTTTTGTTTTGGCTTTGAGAACAAAACATTTATTTCTATCGATTTTTCAGAGTTTATATTATTTACAACTCGTCGTGCAACTAGTCATGCCTTACATGTTTACAATCCATCCAGGTAAACATGGCTGCTCAAAAACTCAGAATTCAGTTAGAGCCTGAAAACTAAGAAAAGTTTTTAATTGCTTTTAATCATTTAAAGAGGCTCTAATGATATACCAATATTTCCATCTTGTCGTTTGTTCTTTTTTATCTTTCTTTCTGTGACTCTTACGTTTGAAGCTTGCTAGCTTGCTGTCTTCTCCATAGAACAGGATGAGTTCTCCAGCTAGCAGTAGCTGTCTTTCTACTAAAGGACTGGACATAAGTCTGTCTGCCCTGCAGAGACAAGACCCCTACATAAACAACATTGTGGACGTGGCCAGCCAGGTCGCCCTGTATACCTATAATAACAGGGCGAATGAGTGGGTTAGTATGAAGTTTGTTGAAGGCTAACTTAGCTTAGCCTGTTTAGCTAAGCTAAATTGTGGGCGCGCGCATCATCACAGGCCTACATATTCACTATTACTGGGCTTTAGAGTTAAAAGCCCCGATTAAAACACTTTTTTTTTATATTGTGTATTCTGAATTTCATTCATGCTATGTTCTCTCTAAATGTTTCGTTTTTCAGGAAAAGACAGAAGTGGAGGGCACTTTGTTTATTTACACAAGGTAATATAATTATTCCAAATGTTTAAAATCATGTAGTTTCTTACAGTAATTACATTGCGGTGCTTTGAAACCTCGGTTAGGCCGACTAAAATGACTGTACCGCTCATTATCTAAGGAACTTCGGCGGGGGTCTTCAACAGGGGGTCCGCGACCCCTAGGGGGTCCACGGAGGTACTGCATGGGGGTCGAGAAAGTTTTTTTTTATATATATATATTCCACCGTGCAATTTTTTCCACTAATTGAAATGTCTTTAAATACACATTAACATGAATTCAACACACTGTAGTAAACAGATAAATGGAGGCAGAAATGTATTTCAGTCATTAATGCACACATTCAGCGACACACAGGCGCTCTTTCAATCTGGGCACCGTTTAATTCATAACACCTGTCCCATCAACCAGGAATCAGAATCAGAAATACTTTAATAATCCCAGGGTGAAATTTCTTTCGTTGCATTACTTCATCTGTAATAGAGTGGCTATAGGACCATTTTGATATAACACAATTTTATTGATATATTATATAAAATGAGGGGGTCACTGCTCCATATTACCATCAGTTTGGAGATCCTTGGCCTGGAAAATGTTGAAGACCCCTGACCTACAAATGGTCCCTTTATCCCGCTCCATCTGTATACCTGTCCTTTCCAGATCCGACCTGCATGCATGACATTGCTGTGCAATGAAGTATCTCTATGTGTGGATTGTTTATACCTGTTGATGTGCAGTGTTAATCCTATCCCCCTTCTTGTGTTTTGCCTTTTTTTTTTATCTGTCTAAAATACCCTCTTTTAACCTCTTAATCTCCCCCTCATTTTGGGAAATTCTTGCCTATTTTGCACACCCAGATGGAAAAGTAAATAAATTAGGAACTGTAAGCGCAAATTACATGTGTAATACATTATTTGAAAGCCAACACCTTCTATAGTTTATATACATGAAAATTGGGTGAGTTAAACACCCAAACTTTTTTTTATTCTTGAAAATTATAGATCTTTTTTTAACAGCAGTTATAAAGACATACTTGCTTGTTGTGGCTGCTTTGTCATGGTACATTTTGAAATGCTGCTATATCTGTGTTACCGGTAATTATGCTTTGTCGTTCACTATGTCCATAAAATGAACTGGGTGGTTGAATTGTGGAGAATCTAAGCTTTCCAAGGATGTCTAACATGTCTATATTGGTAAACATTTTACCAGTGTGATTTTCATGCATTCTGAGTTATTATTTGTAAAGCAGTTTGAGAGGTTAAAAACTTAACACAAGACTTATTGAAAGGCCAGAATGCATAAGTACATATAGTACACAATTTCTACCATAAAGCTGTTAATCCTTTCATTTTAGTCAAAAATCTCAGACTCCTCCACAAATTAAATTACACAGAGGCCTTTTTTTATTAACAATGTAACATTTGAAGCCAGTTATTTGTGCTAGAATTTAGTTTTCTTCGAGTAAAGGAGTCTGAATAAAAATGCACAGACCGGCTTAGCAGAGAATTGGATTTGTATGGAATGTAGGAGCCATGTAGGGGTGTGGGAAATAATCGTTTTGGCGATATATCGTGATATTCGGCTGCCCGATATAATATCGATCTTTCAGTTCTTAATATCGATAAAAAAAAAAAAAAGGTTACATAAAACATTGATGGGAAAATGGGCTACCTCTGCACCACCACTATGGCAGAAAGTGCTGTGGAGCCCTTTAACTGTGCGTGCAGCACCAAATCTGTATTTGAGGCAGTCACAGTGGAAGAAAACCCCAAACAACATAGATAATAATGCCTAATCAATATTTTCTGATGAAAATATACAGCACTTGCTGTTTTATCCCATCATTTGATTTTGATAGCTGGGGAAAATATGGCAATATATAGTGATACTGTAATATCGTGATAATATCGTATTGTGACCCAAGTATCGCGACATGTATCGAATCGCAACACTCATGCCAATACTCACCTCTAGAGCCATGTAGTGTTTTCCTTCTACTTTACTGTTTAAAATCCCAGTATGACACATGTAAGTTTGTGGTTGTAATATGACAGAACTTAAGTTAATAAATAAATAGATATAGATAAATAATCAATAGAGGCAATGCTATTACAAAGCACAGTAAAAGTATAATAGTATGTATTCAAAAATATTTAAATTCTCTTTGCTAAACACTAATTTTTATTTCAGATTGGCATCTCCCAGGCATGGTTTCACGATAATGAACCGTCTTAGTGTTGAGAATCTGACAGAGCCCATCACAAAAGACTTGGACTTCCAGCTGCAGGATCCTTTCCTCCTTTACCGGAATGCACGATGTAAGCAAAATGTCCACTAATACACATAGGGCTACACGACTTCCGGAAATGATATGGTTGGGACACTATTGTTAAGGATTGTCAGAACAACATTGATCACAAATGGAACAAATAAGTGCTGACTGTTTTATTTGTTTACCATTACAAAATGACTTCACCAAATACTGTGATCAAAATACATCCAAATACATCTTTCCCATATGCAAAGCTCCAGTTATAGTCCAAAAAGTGTAAGTGAAAGGCTTCATGTTTGCATGCTATGCTTACAGCTTTGCAATAAGGCTGATAAATGTATCACAATATGAGTCTTTCATATCAATCAATATCAATAATTTTTTATTGTTTTATTTTTATTGATTTTTTTACCTATTTGAAAAAAGTACCAGGGGGAAAAACTCTGAATTTTAACTTAACCAACTTTGCGTATCTTGGCTGTGAGAGACTTAGAGGCTAGCTCTGTTCTTTTTCCTACATTTCCCAGAATACCATGCAGTTCTGGGTTGAAATTCTTTAAAATAGAATAAAATCCTGTCCTTTTTTTCTTTTGATATTCATCAGATGTCTATAGTGATAGATGTATTGATATTATTTAACTGCCCACCCCTAAGGTATGGCTGGATAAAAACATATTTTCTCTTGGATAATTCCAAAGCAGACAGAAGCAGATACGGTTAATATAGAATCTAATAATTAAGATCTAAACTCAGTGATTTTAAAGTGAAACCTTTATGAAAAGTTTATAAAAAAAATGTAGCTTTACAGTTGTTGATCTTCCCTTATTATCCTCTTCATAAAATTGGTCTCATGTAGCCTTGTAGCTAAATATTATGGGATCTGTGTAACACTACAGTTTTGCAACAGTGAATATAGATCCCATATCTTATTGTTTCTTAAAGCAGGCATGTTTTTTTCCACCACTAACTTGATTTAATCAAGTAAAAGCTTTTTTTCTCCAATTTGTACACTTCTTTACCAGGAATATAAATTGTTGTTGTATGTGGATCTTTAGGGTTAGCTACAAGACTTCTCTGAAGCCAAGTCAATTCATAAGCTGGATGGTGTGATCATGTCCCTTTGAAAATCAGGGCAGCTTTTTTTTGGAGCAAATCTGAGATAATGTGAAGAAAGAGGAGTAGGTAGATCATCTTAGTGTGAACCAGTAATTCCATTTAAGGAACTAAAGGATTTTTTAGTACATTTTATCAGCCCCAAACTCTCTCAGAGACCTACATATGGCTCTCACTCACACAATCACGTTGCTAAGTGTGCCTGTGGGACAAGAGTCTGACAGCACTACAAAAACAGCCGGCAGAGATTAGATACACCTCGGCCGCATCTGATAATCTAAACACAGTGACGCAGAAGTTGGTGACACAATCACACACATACTCACAGACTCCGCTTGCCCTCCTCTCTAGCTCTCCTTGAGGCTTGCTAGGAAGCAGATGGAAGTGGATTTCCTACGCCTGCTTTAATCATTTTGCTTCTCGGCATATAATTGTGCTTACCGATAGTAATAAAGAATAGCCAGATAGAGAAAGATTGTGTTTGGCATAAAGTTTACTAAATGATCCATTGCACTTCCTTAAATGGTTTGCTGTGCAACTTGAAGTATATAAGAGTTAGGTAATGTAGGATAAATTTGAAATCTGAAGCTGACTCACTTTTCGTGGGAAGGAAAAAGAAATGAAAAGCACTTAAAACAAGTAGTCACAACAAAGCTGATGATTGCTTCCTCTGCTAAAATTGAAGTTAAGGATGGTGTGTATTCCAAGCATAATGGTCAAACCTAATGGTAGCCTTAATTTGCTTTGATCATAAAACACCAAGTGAAAGAAGGCGATATAAATAATGGTTGTAGTCAGACAGATTTCTATCTCAACAGCTGCTGAGATTTGAAAGGATTGTTGACAATCCAGATAAAATGTATAAAAGTACAATGTTTTTTACATTTGCAGAGTAATGGTGCCCCTAGTGCTTCAAAATCCATTTATCCGTTTTAATTAAAAAGGAAAAGAAATTTTGGAAAACTTAGGTTACTGAAAAGCCATTTTTATTGGCCAACATCCGATTTGTTAGCTGCTGGCAAAGCTGCCCGTCCCAGTGCATGGTGACCTCTGGTGCAGGGGTCATGGAATCTTATCATTAGACAAACATGTATCCCTCTGAGCGGCTGTAACTTCCTGGAATGGAGGTTGGCACAAAGTGGCACCGCAGACTAAAAATAAGCAACAGAGATACACCACAGAATGAGCTAAGATTCAAGGAAGAGTGATTTAGCCCTAGCAAGATGTTGGTTCGCTCTCCTCAAGAGGATGAGGCTTTTAACATTCCCCACTTTAAGGACTTCTTCCTTAGTCTTGATACAACTTGACAATCTCTCCTTCCCCTCAGTGGTGTTACTGCCTTGATGTCAGATATCGCAGAAGTTATTGCACCTTGCAAAAGTTGCCTCCTCTTAAACTTTGTTTTAACCAGGGCTTTGGAAGTTGTGCATGATAGGGCTGTTACAAGAAAAGGATGCTTTTTTTTTAAGTTTATAATCAACATATTAAATATATAAAAAGCCTTTTTAGTTAATCTAGAATGGCATTAAAGAGGGAAGCATTTAAACGGCCTTATTTCCATAACTTTGAATGAGCTATAGAGTTCTAGTCTGGCCAGCCGGACAGATACAATGTATACATGGAGTATTAGTGTGGTAAAGAGCTGATACACCTTGATTTCAAAGGCAAGACTAACAGGGTCGGCCTCATCAGGTTAGAACCAAGAAGACAACTACGGATGTGACGCAAAGCTCCAAGCAACATGCTCTGTTTTGTAATCTTGAACAATTTCCGCTGGTTTTGCCTAAAGAAATCCAATTATATAAACTGTGCTTGACTACATTGAAACATTACTTTGTTGTGGTCACCAGCTTGTTGCTATGTTAGCAGAAAAATGGGGAAATCTGGCGTCGAGATATGGCAACCGCAACGTCCCGCCTCCCATGCTGTGCTGACTCTGTCCAGATCTGGCTGATCAATTAATTGTTTATTGATTAAAAAGACCTATCAAGTTTTCATTGATCAATAAATTTTGTCCCCAGCAAAAACGAATGACTTAAATAAAGGTAGCCAAAAAAACTCCAATGTTCCAGCAGTCATGTAGCAAGTACATGGAAGAAGACGCAGAGGTCAACTTAAGTGCTAGTTATGCCTCGTCATGCTTTAGAAATGCTTATCCTTGGCTGAGTTGGTGAATGGTGCTAAATGCTGGACATTCCTGCAAGAAATTCTGTCAGAAGAACCGAGACTTGACTGGAGGCTCAGCTCCTGGCAGGACGACAGTTCAAACATACAGCTGGAGCTATAAAAAAATTATTTTAGTGGCCTAGTCAAAGTCTGGACATCAGCTTAATAAACTGTTCCCAGGCTTAAAAGTTGGTGTTCAGAGATTCTACTCATCCGATGACACTGATGTGCAAAAAATACAAAACAAGATTCAGCTTTTGTTACAGACTCTAGTCAGACAGTCTTACCTCCAGGTCGGACGTACGTGTATCCCAAATCCCCCTCGGACACCAGTGAGCCCTTAAATCGGACCTCAGGATCCTCCTCCAGCCGTTCGTGTTTAAGTTTTCTCTGAAACAGGCCTCTTAACATGATCCTGGTGCAGTTCAGCTTTTGGGCTTTAACTTTCTTGTTCAGTTTCTTCTGAAGCCTGTTTGTAATCAATCCTTTTTCTTGCAAAAAAGAAAAATCCAAAGAGGTTGCCAATGAAATAAAACTAAGTATGTACCTATTTTGTTTAACAGTCCTGGTCTCTTTAGGTGCAGTCTCTACTTGAAGAGAGTTTCTGCAGTGAGAGCTGAGCTTTAAATCTATAGCGATGAGTCCTCTATTACAAAAATGACTCCAAGTGTACCCAACACTGGCAAACCTATATGAAAGTACATATGGAAAGAAGAATTTGTTTTTATTCTAAAGATTAGGAATGATTATCCATATTCCTGCTATATTAAGCTCAGCTGAGCTCTAAACTTCACTAACAAATCCTAAATTAGAAATAAATCTTTATAAAGCTTCAGTTTCATGAAGTTGAAGTGTCCAGAGGGATGATGACACGTGCTTGTCCCAGTTCCTGAGGGATAAAGATCCAGATATGTAGAATTCCCCCTTCTGTTGATGACTGAACTTTCCAGCCTCCAGGTTAAAGACCAGTTGTTTGAAGGTTCATCAGCTGTCCTGAGCTTAAGTTGTCCTGTTGAGGTTCTCCTCCCACATGGTTTAGTTGTCTTCCCAGTTGTAGTGGTATCATTCTTGTCTTGGGTCTCACATCTCTTAACATCCCTCCTCCTCTTGCCTCTAATGTCCTGGGACTCGACCGGAGCTCCCCCTCTTTTCTCCTCCGTTCAGTTTTTTGGTGGTCCTCCTCCTGCCTTTCTTTTATCAGGCTCCCTCTTTCTGTTCCGTCTTTGCTGCTCAAACAGTCAGGGGTCTGGATAACCGACGCATTATTGGTAAGATATCGAAAGCAGCTTTCACACTTCTTTGGTAATCTATGTGTGTAGCTGGGTTAGGACTTCTCTAAGACACGCTGGAGATTCCTGCCTGACTGTCCTTCTCTTACCTTCAGGGAAGCGTTTCCTACATTATTAGCTTTATCGGTCTGATTAATGATTCCTAACAGCCAGAGAACAACACGCTCCTATTTCGATGGAGTAGATTATCTCCTTCTAACACACATCACTTGTTTCTAACCATCTTACTTATTTTTTGTTAAATTTTCCATCTGTCTGACCTCTACTGTGCATATGTCCCAGGATCTCTGTCAATCCGTCTCGACCCCAGTGAGCACTAAGTGGCTCTGTCTCCACCAGTCAAGTCTCCCACTACAGTTACTTATTTGGTTCAGGGCTGATTTTTCCCAGGCTCTACTTAACTGACTGTGTATGTCTCTGCCGGCCCCCCTCTCTGTCTGTGACCTCTCTGCTCCGTGTGCCGGTTTGGGAATACATGTTGTCTGTGTGGTAATAATATCCACCACATAGATACTCCAGGCCCTCCTCTGTCTTTACATAAGAAGTTTTAGTCATTTTTCCCTCTATATAAACCAAAAATCAATTACCTGCAGACACATTCCCTAACTTTAACGATTGACATAATAAAAAAAAAAAAGTATAAAATCAGATTAATAGAGAAAGTATGTTGTTTTTCTTTCCTTTACTTATATGAATTTTACAATAAAAATCTGTTAGCAGATGATTTCATTCGAAATTAGAATTCTTTTAAGAAGTAAAGTGTCCATCAAAGCTCAGAGCCTTAACAAATAAGCTAAAATATCCGATTGCAATAATCCAGATTAAGTGTTAAAACAATTATTTTTGCTTTACACAGCCCAATTAATCCACTCAATGTGCCTGGTTTTTACCGTAAATATTGAAGAGCAAAACAAGATTGTTTTTTAATCAGATTATTTTTTTAAAGTTGTTAAGAAACGATGTTAATGCCAGAATCAGAAGTGAATCAGAAGTATGCGACTATTATACATCCTCTACAAATAAAAATGAGTATGGTGTAAAAGAACCCAGCCCATCCAGAGTTCCTACTTTGTAGAAGTACATTTTTACAGCAGTTAGACCTGCTAGTCTTCTGAGGTACCAGGATTGGATGTCATGGACCATTTCCTAAAGCAGGATTTGTGTTAATCTAGATTAAGTTATTGGGTAAATTCCTGCATACTTTGGGTTTTCAGTTTCACAAAGATAGGAAGCCATTATCGTAAAATTAAAACAGCATTAAACAACCGTGTTTAGAAGCAGGGTTTCTACTAATCCTGGTTTTTTACCAGTTATAAAAGGTGTATTGAGGTCGGAGTGCAAGTACTTTAAAGATATTTTTGCCAATAGATTGTGATCAGCGTAAAATTAGATTTTTTTTTTCTTCCAAAGGAATATCTTAATAGAATTACCTATTGTAACAAGATTAGATTTTATTATTTTTAGCAAGCCCTAAATTACATTAATTTTAACCATTTTCATGTTACTAATATATGAGGGCTACTTTATGAAACATTAGCAGTGTGAAGATGGCCTGCTAGCTTTAAACTTTTTAGGAATCACCCTGCTTATTGCTCCCTTTTATGTTGCAGCTAGACAGATATTCAATGCATACAAAAAGTTTTATTGTCATAAATTTATTTTAACCATACTTTATTCAAATTAGTCTTTTTTTCTCACATTTAATGATAAATGCTTAGGATAAATGTTAAATCTATGTAATTTCCAGCTACATTTAACATTTTAAGCGATTTCTACATCCCATATCTAAATATGGCTGTTAAATGAATATCTAAATCTATATATTATATCAACATTTTTGATCTAATAAGTAATTATAAACTCTGAATCTAGAATCAAAATACAATAGTTGATCATAAATCTAAATATATATCTTATATGTTAAGAAAAGTACCTGTTCAAGTACCCAATTCGTGGCCAAAACTTTGCCATGGTGGCTTAATCTTGCAATAAAAACTGTTATTTGATGCAGAGTTGAGTTGCCTGATTGATATCATCTATTCAGGAACCAAAAACTCTTGAGTAGGGAAAAGAGGAGTAGAACTACTCAGAGTCTCTGCTTATTAACCGAGGAAGGACAGCTATGCTTTTATTCTGTCTGAAAAGGTGACCTGTTGATGGAAAGTATGAAACTTTCTTGCTCCTGCTAAAAAAGCATTCCCACAGCATGATGATGTCTTTGTAAACTGAAATAACTTTTACTTAAAGTAAAGCAAAAGATGGGAAAAGTTGCATCTGGACTTTAATATCGTACTATTTTTTGTTTCCATTATATCTTTATTCTAACAAAGATCCAAACTAGATGCATAAATTGTAAAACTATAACAATTTTAGCACCTCTTCTTTCTGATGACAATACAACAGTTATGATGGATTCCTGTGCAAACGTCACACATCAAAACAATTTAATCAATCGTAGTTAAATATAGCAACTTGAGTAATAAAATATTCTTAAGTGACCTTGTAAAGAATCATGCTAGAGTCTTTTTCCTCTTATTCTCACTATGTTTATACAGTTCAAGAGACTCCTGGGGCCCATGTTTCACTGTATAATGGCGCTGCTGGCTTTTGTTCCCATTGGCTTTGCTGGGAAAAAAGAGCTTTTTTTAGTGCTTTGGTTGTGTGTGTTCTAATGTCACTGCAGCAAATTGGAGCTATTTCATGTCTGCACATTAATTAGATTTTAGGTCAGGTCAACTTGTTTGTTTTATTGTCTGCTGACCTTATTGGTGAGCTCATCTGAGAACTGTAGAGCCACATTTATGAATATTGATTCTTTTTTTTTTTTCTTTGTCTGAATCATTATTGCAAAACAAAACATTTTATTTTACGTTATGATACTTTAAGTGTTATTATACCTTTAATTGTGTTTCCTAAACTCATCTAACCTTGTTTTTTTTACCCAAGTGGTTATTTATGGGATCTGGTTCTACGATAAGCTGGACTGTCAACGTATTGCGCAAAAGATGCGGAGGTAAGAATAAATGAAATAAAGTGATTTAATTAACTTGCTATCAGTACTCATACAGAGAAGACCTACAGGTTTATTTCTTTTTACTATTTATATTTTCTTTTACTGTTTGTTGTGATGTTTACAAAGATAAAAGCTAAATATACAGACTTTTAAGACACCATTTTACAAAAATTCTTTGTTTAACATTGGACTTATTTTCCCACTATTGTATTTTATTGTTTCGCTAAAACATGTTCAGGTTACCTTTGTTGATTTTCCTAAGTAACTGCTGGAAATCTGTGATTTGTCCAGTTTGACCCAGCAGGAGCAGATCCTGGCTCAGTCTCACGGTGGATCCATATCACCAGCAGCAGCAGCAGCAGGAGGAGGAGGAGACGTTGGTTTAGTTGGGGGAAATAATGAGACCAAAGCGGTTGACATCATTCAGATGTTGACTAAGGCACGATCAGAATACCACAAGGTTAGCAGACACCAATTAACCAATTAAGGAAACCTTAAGGCTTATAATCTGACAGCATGATTTTTCTTACTACTAGTCTGCCTCAGAGCCAAAGGAGATTGGAGGCAGCAGTGTTCTTTGTGGAAACCCTAACCTCATTAAACCAATTCCAGTTAAACCAACCACCCAGGTACAGAAAAAAAACCACACATTCCCTCATAGTATTGATGTTTTTGTCCCCTCTGCTTATCAAACTTTGTCCATGCCAGGTCAGTGAAGGTGCAGAAGCTCTGTTAGGCTCTGAACATCAACATCACCACGCTCTTAAATCTGAAGTTCCTCCTGTTGCTCGCCCACCCGTTGCACGCACTCTGACCTACGAGGATTCAGTCAACTCTGGCAGGAATGTCGCCCCCACAGGTGGTGTAGACACAGGAGTCAAGCTGATAGATGTGGAAGACAGTGGGAACGCCCCACATCAGCTGCCGAACCAAATCCAACACTGTCCAGCCATTGCAAAGCTCATGCAGGGACCAAGGGGGGCAGCAGGAGCTGGCGGCGTACTACAAACACTTTCTGAGTCCCCTGAGAACCGGTTGTGTGATAACGGAGTGCTGTTGCAACACCACCACCCCCACCTCCACCATCATCACCATCACCAGCAGCTCCTCACCCATCACCACCACCAGGAGCAGCAGCACCACCATGACCCAATAAAGAGATTCCTGCAGGGCCATCCACCTCCTCCACTTGCCACTTCTTTCACCTTCCCTGGTTCTCAGGCTTTGCACCAGATCCCTCATCTCGCCTCCCAGGCTGCCCAAGTGGATTCTGTCTCACGGTCCCACCTGGAAGCACAACAAGGTCAGCAGCTGCTCCTCAGCCTGGTGAAGTTACAGACAGAAATACAGCAGAGAGGGCAGGCAGATCCTGCTGCTACGGGAACAGGTGCAGCATCTATTTTTAGTATGGTTTTCTAAAAGGCTAAAGAAGCACTTAACTTTTATTTAAAAAAAAAGTTGTTTTAAAAATTACCCATAGAGAGTAACTTACACTTAGACAAACTTTGTTGTCATTTTGTATACACACAGTGTATACAGAATTATAAAAAATACGAAGTTTCGATGCCTACAGCTTTTCAACAGTGAATGAGTAGCAACATGAGTAGTAACAGTGAAATGAACATTTCCATTTATAAAGTGCAGCAGTGATCAGAAGAATATGGTGCAAATGCAGCGGAAACATTGAGATGAGGTCTGTTTAAAAGGGATGTGAAAACTTTGCCATGTAGTCAAATTATGATGTTTACAAGTGTGATGCAGAGTCTTGATTTGTGACTTTGTCACTCCTGCCTGATTTTTTTTTTAATGCAAAGTTTTGTCAGGGAGTTTCTTGAAAGATCTGTTTTGTGATGTTAGTTCAGTTTTGTGTCACACAGTTTGGACAATTCTATGAAATCTGAGGAGAAACTAAATATTTTCCTTCCTTCCTTCCTTCCTTCACAAATTAAATGTTGAGATAAGTCCATATTAGATTCTAAACACTTTGTGTTTTTTTTGCCAAATCTTAGTCTGATTTAGAAAATATGTTTGAGAATATCAGTATTTCTTTTCTTTTTCCAGTGCTTTGTTGAATTTCAGATAATTAACTTCTGAGTGTTTCTGTCTGTAATTCTTACAGCTTAAATCATAACATGTATTTGCCATCCTTTGAACCCAGTAATGATGCCTTATGCTTTTTTTCATTAGGTCTGTCATCCCAGATGCAAAGTGTGGTTTCTCCTCACGAGCTTCTCCAGAAACTCCAGCTGGTCCAGCAGGAACAGAGCCTGACTCCTCATGAACATCATCGGACTCATCCTCATCCAGGACTAGCGCCTCGGTTTCATGGATCCAGTCAGAATCAAAGTACAGGCTCAATCTTTGGCTCAGCCCCAACCCAGATTTCAAGTATCCAAGATCAAAAAATTGAGCCACAATTTCAGGTAAAAAAAAAACAACAACAAAATTGTTAAATTATTGGTCGACTTTAGGTAAATAAGTATTGTTGCAATACAATTTTTTTTTTACTCTTATATATTTATAATGTTAAATACAAGGTTCAAAACAGCCAAAGTAAATCCCATAATTCAAGTCTAGTTAAAGGAAATTGGACAGCAGTGGTTAAACAATACATATCTTTGATTGAACCAATATTTTTTCCAAAAACAAAACGCCTTTAAGAGGAGTGGAGGGATTGTAATTCCTGTTTTCAACAGATGGTGTCATAATGGACTAGTAACTCCCAGTATCCCTAACTTTTTACTCATTACAGCAACCTACCACAAACTTTAAACTTTTCCAAACTATTAGTGGACTTTAAGAACTAAATCTATTTATATTTCTATGTTTAGGTTTTGGTAAGAGTGAAGTCATTAGATCATTCTATGTAAAGATAGCCATTCAATCACATAAGTAGAATAAGACCAATTTAGCTCTAAATTTGTTGGACATTTGTAGAAAGGCAGTCAATATTAAAGAAAGGAGTACACAATCAACAGCCTAATATAATGTAACTATCCAGATTTTTAAAAGATGAAACAGCTAAAACTAAACCTTTCTAAGACCTTTACACAGTGCTTTACAGAAATATTCATACTTCTTTAAAAATCACAATAAAAAGATAAGATAAAAAAGGCATAACTTATTGCCCAGCTGCATGGTTAAGAAAACATGGCTTTCTTCTTCAGCTGGCAATGAAAGATAATCTGAAAAGGCAAGAAGAGCTCGTTTATAAGTATATTTCAGTAGGTAGACCATTCAAAGTCATGTACATAACATGAAAACACAACAGGTAAAGGTACATTGCAGGATAATTAAAAAAAACAATGCAGGAGGTGGTAATCACTTCAGTGATTTATTAACTAAAACAAGTATTTAAAGGTCTCCGCTCTGAGATACAGTTAGCCAGCGTAACAATTTAAACCTGAGGGATGTGTTCTACTATCGTAGTTTTAGTGAGGACACGGGCAGCATCTCTCTGGATCAGCTGCAGCTGTCTGATCGATTTTTGTTTTTAGGCAGACCTGTGAAGACACCGTTACAGGAAATCAGTTCTGCTAAAGATGAACACATGACTTAGTTTTTGAAGATCCTGCTGAGTCATTAGTATCCTAAATCCTGAAGATGCACTTTAAGTGGGCCGTGGCAGCCTAGTGGTAAGGGCATAGAGCTTGGAATCCTGAGGTTCTGAGTTCGAGCCCCACTCCCACATTCTGCCACTATGGGTCCCTGAGCGAGAACCTTAACCCAACACTGCTCCCAGGGCGCCGCACGATGGCAGCCCACTGCTCCCCAAAGGGATGGGTTAAATGCAAAGGTAAATTTCTCCAATGTGAGATCAATAAAGTTCAATTATAGGTAATGGAAGGCCAACTTTGTTATTGTTTTTTGTGCCTCTGAAGGCTCAGGTTTGAGTCCATCACTACACCTAGGTTTTCACCTTGACTGGTGAACAGCATCCCGTAGGCTGATAGTACCTTCAGAGGGGCTGCAGAGATCTACCATTAATGTGAATGACTAATGACAAGAAAGCTGAGATTTCTGCATTTTGCAAAGCTTGAGACAGAGTACTGAGACAGAGTCATGGTAGACCCATGGTATATTTTGGTCACTCCTATGCAGCTATTTGTTAGCAATGTAATGAGTCAGACAGGAGGAGAGACACGGTGACAAAGTAAAACAAAGCCTTTGCTTTGGTGAAAATCTCTGAAATGTGACAACAACCCTAATCTTAGAGCTAGAGTTTAGATAAAACATTGAGTTGAGAGTCATACAAAACAGTTGAGGTTTTGGATTAAGTCCCATTAAAATAATCTGAGGCGAGAATTAAACATGAATATTTAAAGATTTCCTCCAGGCTGACTGATTGTGAGTAATTTCTTGGGCTGAAACAATTATTCGGATTAATCATTAATTTATTATTGAAATAATCGTCAGCTAATTTAGTAATCAATTAATTGTTAACTGGTGTATAGAGACTCTAAAACATCCATTTACCTGACAGAGCAACCCACTTAGAGGAGTAATTATACCAAAATTGTGAAAAAATAAATAAATATTTGGCATTTAAGATAAAATAACTCCTCTCAATATGTCTCAATAAAACACTCTGTCCAGAACTTCGCAAGTCGACAAGTTTTAGTTTCACCTGATTTAATTTTTAACTTTAAGAAACATTTTGCTCTCAGATTATTAATCGGAAAAATAAACAAAAAATTAATCGATTAGCAAAATAATCGTTAGTTGCAGCCCTAGTAATTTCTTAAAAATTCATTAGCAAACCTGATTGATGCATGTATCAAAAGGCTTGCTGGGCAGATTGCAGCAAAAGTGTGATTCTGTGAAGGATTGGTGAAATACAAATGAACCACACAACACGTTTGACATTTTTAATTGTAAAAAAAACAAAGTTAATGAGTATTTACTGTGTGGTATCTCAGTATAGTGCATCATAACGTTTCTAATGTGACACATTCCAAAAAAGTTTAAAAACCTTGGGAGGTGCTTCGGATGCGTTTTACCAAATGTTTCCCACAGAGTGTATCTCTGCATTGCCTGCTGAGATTGCCTATTTCCTTAGGTGTTTATTGTGATCTGTGGTTTTAGAGCAAAAATCTGGATGTGGGTACTAAATTCCAATTTAATCCCTGTCCCTGTCTGTGCAGATCCTCTCCCCCCAGCGGATACCTGCCACAGTGGCCCCCACTCTGCTCCTCTCTCCCAGTGTGTTCTCTCAGGCAAAGCCCAGCAGCAGGCCGCCGGCTGTTGCTCCAGACAGCCGCTCTGCAACTTCAACCTTACACAAACCCTCACTGCCAGAGGAGGTCACAGCTCTCTCTAAAAGCCAGCTTCAAGCAGCACTGCTGCATCTGATTCAGGTGAAACTCTTAAATACACCTTTCATGTTTATCATTTTGTAAACAAATAAAAGCAGAACATACCCTCTGTGTTCATAAGCATGCATGCAGCAGCTTTCTGTGCTAACTTGCTTACATGCTATGTTTCAGACTGACAGCTCATTCCTGGACTCCATCTATGAAGCATACGTCAGCCGCTTTGCTAACGGCTCCAGCAGCAAGTACTGATGACTCTACACATCAGCTGTCTGTCTGCACACTCTCCCTGCTCGAAGGCAGAACCTGACACTTAGTGAACCTCTTCTTCTAAATTACCATGCTGTATTTCAATCTGGACAGTCTGGCTGTCACTTAGAACAGGCTCTTAAAACATAATTACGGGTATACAAATGCAAATATATATATAAATTTTTTTTTTCCTTTAGCAGTAATTTACAACTTTTAAATATTTGGACTGATTAAAAAAATTGGTACAATTTAATAATTAGCATGATGGATAAACTTGAAGTTTAAGTTGACAATAACTGGAACATACTGTATGGTTAAAAAAATGTTCAGACTGGATGATATTTTGCACAGTTTATTCAGGTATGTATATATATATATATAATACTTTTAGCAATAGCCAGCCAACTAGACTCAAAACATATTCTTTCATTTTTATTATTAGTTTTTATTAGATTTCTTGTTCAAGATGTGATCAAATGTGTTTATCTGTCTGCAGCGTTCAAAGTTTGACATTACTTTTGTTGTTTTTTTTCTTTGTAAAATTCAATAAGAGTTTATATGTCAATTAACATTATAAAGAAGTATTGAATTATTTCATCAAGCATGTGGCATTTAAAGGGCATTTATTATTATTTTCCTTATTTAATTGTGTTCAGGCTTGTAGCTCTGAACTGTTATTTTTGCAAAGCTTGGAATCCAGAAATAATAGTAAAATGTGCCTTTGATTACACTCACTGGGACAGAATCATTGCTCACAATAAGTTAACGTTGAAAAAAAAACTAGAAGTTCTGGCAGCAATCAGGTAACCTTCCAAAATCTCATCCTGTTCTGACCAGCAATCTCACTCAGACATGTCGGCACATTCCAACAAGCAAAATATGAAGTTTCGGATGGCTTGCTCTATGTGAGCGTGTCATACAGTGGTTGTAAATGTGATTTAGTCTTGGAGTTAAACTGCATTAAAGTAATCTAGCTCTAAAAATATTTCCCCATCACTATCTAAGCTATCTAAGTATGTCTCCAGTTAGTTTGACGGCGACTACGTGGTATTTGAGCTTAAATCATTCAATCATTCATTTGGTTGCAGCAGAAGCAAATATATTTTGGCTATATAAATATAAGAAATAGTGAAATTGGAATTATCTTATCATAATATTTTGAAACAAAAAACATTTTTAATGACCGAGGGAATTAAAGTAACAACCTCTGTTTATGTTTAACCGGTAAACTTCAGTACCTAGTTCGTTCAGATGTCTTATCTCCTTCCCTCTGATTTTAATTGGTGTAAAAATGACAGATAACTTCTTTGAAAAATAATGTGAAAGATGATTAATATTTGAATAACACAAGATTAGATTTTGTTCTTATAGGTTTTAGACTATTATGTAAAATATTTGCCCTTTAAATGAAGATTGTTCAAATTTAACAGATTGAGCAGAGCTACAGTCAGATATTTCTTTTTTAACGTGTTTCAATCGGGGTCCTTTGGGAAAAACTTTCATGGCTCTTCAAGGGATTAGTAGTTCTCTTTGAGCTAAGCATCAAATTTTTGAGTTCAACATCTAGTCCAGCTTAAAGAAACAAAGCAGCTTAGGAAAACCTGCACTACCTCAGACTCTGCTTATAGGACTTGGAGGATTTATTTGATTTTATGAGGGGACAGCCGTTTTTTTATATTAATAATATACTTTATTTTTACTGTCTGGAACCTTTTAGGATAACAGCATTGTTTAGAAAAAGATAGAAGTAGTGCACAAAAACACATTATAACAGGTAAGAAAATAATAATATGCAAGGTTAGCTGACAAAATGTTCTCGCAGTGGCGATTTTTTAACTCAGGTTGTTGCCACACAGCAAGCTTCATAAATTAGGCAACAAAAATATCAATATGTCATCTGGAGAATTTGCACTGACCTTCATTTTATTCACTTCCTACTTTTTAAGTCTAGTTGAGCTGATCTAGTTAGTTAATTAAACTTTTTTTTTTTTTTTATCAATACTATTTGCCACCAAACCAAGTTTCTTTTGATTTGAAATATGTTACAGAGACGGTGTGTGTTTAGCTGTAGCTGTAACTTGTACAGAGGCAGTCCCAACAAAAAAACGACAGAGAATGTTTAATTAAAAAGTTATTTTTCTATTTTAAAATAATATGTAGCTTTCATAACACCAATATAAACAACATGCATTTAATTTCTAAAATTGTTTATATTTTAATTCAAATATTGTCTAATTGATTGTTTTTTTCTGTATAATTTGAGGCATTTTGTTCAAAAAAGGGTTATAATAGTGTTGTTTTTTTTAACTGGTTAATAAATGTTCCAATCCAAACTCGTTTTTCTTTTGGCTGTTAGTTTCATTGCTTTTATGATCATTTCTCCTGAAGATGGATGAAACCCAGATTTAACACTAATCCCTTAAAATGTGTTCTCATTATTGCTTTATTGCCACTTCATTGCCTTGTTTTAAAGCAATCGATGGTGCAGCGTAATGTCCACAGTGATTAATCAGCAGCTGCTCCAGCCGAAAGAGCTTGGTAATTAACCGCGACAAATGCAATGTGTTTTTTTTTCCATGTGTTTGAGGTTTTTTTTAAGCTAGGCATGATACGAGGGATGGAGAAAAGGTGTCTAACATTGAACTGATGGATTGAAGACCTCTCTTTGATATAGCTGTCTCTTACCAGGGTTAAATTAGACATAAAAGGAATATAAGGAATATACAACATGGATTTGTGGTTAAAATAATGCTATACTTTCACTGTGGGCATGAATCTCATGCTAAAATTTTATTTGAAATGTAATTAAAGTTTTTATTTTCCTTTGTGATCAATGTGTTGTATGTCATTAAAGCTTTTAATGGTATTATTTTAACTGGAAACCCCCTCAAAAATTATGCAACACGTTGTGAAATGATTAGAGGCGGACTGTTCCCATGCTGCCACTTTTTTCCCCCCCAACAATTGAAAGTTTTGTATGCCTCTCCCCTTTTTTCCTTCCTGCTTTCCTTCCCCAGTGAGTTTATCATCACCAGGATGAATTCTAATTACATATTCTTTCAAATATACCACCACAGATGTTGCAAATTTAAAACTGGACCAGTTTCTATTTAAAAGCACCAAAAAGATGGTAACTTAAACTGGCAAATGTTTTTTTTTTCTTTTTTTTTTCTCGCTGAGAAGAGTAGGTTTCAGATCGGTGGTTTAGCTGATGGAGCTAAACATAAGGGCTGACTATTAGCTCTAGCCTAGACTGATCAATGGCTTTTGGTTTGTGTGTCTAGTTGCACGTGTGCGTTTGTTTAGTCCAGAGAGGCGGGCTCACTGTTACTACTGAAATCTACTGAAGGCTATGTGCTGCTGATATCAGCCAAGAGCTATTGGGTGACCATGTTTCAGTGTTGAGTGTTACTTTTTGGACTGTAATGTATTTAAATTATCTTTAGATTGTTCTTAAACAGTGGAGCTGCTTACAATGAATGCAAGATGGAGCAATAGTTCAATTCTGCAGTGACATTGGTAAGTAATGCTCTTTTTTTCATTAGATTATTACTGTTTTTAAAGCTTTATGTTAATAGTGGACGCAGAGCGGATAGAAAAAAAAATAAAATACTGAAATTGATCAAGTAAGGTTAAAAAAAAAGAATGTAAAATAAACTTGTACTGAACAGATATAAATACCTTTAAAGAATAATAATATAGTTTCCTACGTTTCTGCAGGAATCTGAAACACTTTGGTCCTCATGAGAAGCAAGCAGCTTTTATTCATTTCACAAAGATTGATCAATTATTATACACAATATATAAGTAATCTTATTAGATTATATACAAATGTTTAAAAGTGTTTTTTTACAAGGTTGTGTGCAGGGTGGTAGAGCTAAAGCAGCAATATAACCACCACAAATGACACATTCATGGAACATGTTATTGTAGAGTTATTTTTACCAAAATGCATTTATCAGTTATTATATTATTGCACTTTATAGTTCTGAATTTTAGGGCTCGAATGTCATAAAAAAAATGAGAAAGGAGAAAACAACACAAAGAGCCGTGCATTTAAAAGCTTTTAGTTTGTGTTTTATCTGAACACTAAACATCTTTATTTACTGTAGCAGGGGGAAATGGAGAGGTTCATAGGACTCAGGATTCCTAAGCCATCTGGAACTGTGTTAGTTAGTAGAAAATAAATATAGAAATGGGTTTGAGTTTCTAAATGTTAGTCTTATTCCATTGTCTTAAAAACAGTCCCCAATCTTTGCCCCCCAAGACCCAATTTTCTCCATTCTCAAAGTGTTTTTCCTGCAGCTGCACAACTGCCTTAGTAAAGCAAACGGTGACAAGATGCTTTTGCAGCACTTGGATAATGCAGTTGTCAGGCTCGAATTAACATTATTAAAATGTCTTGGACAAACATCTTCTTGGACCTGGTAATATATTTTATAAGCAAACATCTAAACTTCTGATACTGTTTCCAAAGCTTCATGCTTTTTTTTTCTCCACAACAGCACTTTAAAATCCTTTCTGTGGATACCACACCCAGGATCTCAAGGCAAATGGCAACCCTGACTAAGTCTAACTTATACTAGGAATAAACTTACTTGGTGCAAGCAATGTGAAGACATGGAGCCATTACTTTGGGTATCTATGAACAATGAAGTGCAAAAAAATCCATTGAATATCTAAAAATATGTTTTTTTAAATTAATTTTCATTTAGTGGGGCAATTTAAATATGTGCATTAAAATGATCCAATGCCCTCATGAAATAAGCTTCCTTGTAAATAAAAATAAAGATATGTACAAAGTGTAACAAACAATAGTATAAATAATTAACAATAAAATAAAAATATGCATATTAGTTTACATGTATAAACATTTTAAATTACAATAAGAATGCTACAGTAGAAACAAGCATTCATTAGTGATTGGATGTATTAGTTATTGTATAAGTGTATGTATATGTTGTGCTCATTATTAATCTTTAAGCGCATTTGAAACTATATTAAATGATGGCTATTTTTGAGCTTTGTAAAACTGTTTGTACTTTAATCTAAAATAAGTGGTTTGTTCACGTTTGGCAGCGAGAGTCCACTAGGTGTCTCTGTGCATTTGCGCCTCAATCACAAAAGTGTCCCTTGTTCAACTTAAAGCAGCCTGCAAATACAAAAATATAATTAGAATAACCAACCATACAGGTGCATTAGCATTTCCTCTCTTCTACCATAGATATTCACATTTCTGTCAATCATTTTTCTTCTCTATCTTTTGGTAATATCTATAAAACTAAGCAAAGAGAAAAAGCATAAAGCGTAAACATAATAAAGGGTGATTTTGAGAAGAATGCTGAAAAAGTTGAAGAAAAATTAGGATTAAAAAAAACAGGCCAGAAGACACAACTAGAAAGAAGAGCAGGGAACAAAACACTGTGGGTCAGACACTGTTGGGGGATAAAATAGATATTGTGTCCGTGTGTGTGGACTGTGAGAGGGATGGAGGGAGGAGGGGTTTAATCCTGGTTGGATTATGGTATAAAGTGGAGCTGGAAGAGAGAAGGAAAATATACTCTGGAGAGAGAGGATGTCCTTACAATGCATTCATCAGTCTATCATCTCTCAGTATTAATTCTTTTCTGAGTAATTCTCCTTTTAAACCCTGACCATGTGAGACTGACTGCAGGAGGAAAGGAAAACTTCTCACAATGATGGATTTATTTTACCGGGAATCAAATTACTGTCTCTTCTTTTTTTCCTAAAAAGAAATCTGACTTGGACTGATTTTGTTTCAGGGTTGACCCAAGATTGTTTTTGTTTTTTTATTTCAGTTCTTATTTTTCTGGATTTAAGAAAAAAAAACGCGGACTGTACAATGAAGCAGAGGATAAAAGTGACAGCAATCAAATTAAAAACCCTGGAAAGTGAGGTGTAGAAGAATGACGGGACTTAATCAGGACCCCTTGTGCACAGACGTGACCTCTGACCCCCGGAATAAAAAGTTTGCAGATTCTTTGAAATGTGGGCATACTCAGCTCAGCTGACATCAAACCAGACATTCAGACTTTTTCCACATTTCGTTTCTTTCTCTTCTGACCACCATGCCTCTTTAAAGCTGTGTGAACATGACGCTGTGAGTACCATCCTTTACTACTGATTCAACATTACATTTTAGTATTATTAATACAAAGTCCTGCCTCTTTTCACAATAATATCTTCTATATTGGGATTATTAAAGATCCACAGATCATGGCAGATCTGGGGAAGAGCTACAGCGATGTCCTTTGGGGCATTTTGGGGGTGCTGCCAGAGTATGGGTGCTTTTAAAAATTTTATCTATCAATTAAAGAGGGAATTTTAGCCTAGTGGGTTAGAGCAGTGCGCTTGGGCTCTGAGAAGGTTGCAAGTATCTGGTTAGATCCCCACAGCCTGCACTCTCGGTTCCTGAGCAAGACTCTTAACCCCTGATTGCTCTTAGGGCGCCACACAATGGCAGCCCACTGCTCCCTAAAGGGATGGGTTAAATGGAGAGGTAAATCAACCTATTTGCCTTTATGGATTGCACTCAGTCAGTGATTTCTTTTATTACTGACCCTTTGGGCTAGTTATCATTCATGTGTTCTCAGGGTGTAGTCCAGGTAGAGTCCATTTGTTGGGTTTTTAACAAAGGACAAAGACAAAGTATATCAGTATTTTGTTCCCATGTGATTACAGACAGGTAGATGCCTTGACGGCATGATTGTGGCTGCAGTTCGGATCTATATTGGTAAAATAAAATTCTCAATTTACAGGGCTATTTACATTCTGACTATCACATGTGGTCATGAGATAAGGGTTATTACTTATACAGTTTTTATTGTCATTTTTTGTAGACAGTGTAAACAAAACTAAATTTTGTTTTGTACAGCTCTCATGACATGTCCATTCCATAAAGTGCAGCAGTGATCAAAACAATGCATGTATATGGAGGTTCAGAGCATTAGATATATATGGTGCAATGCATCAGAGATACAAGCAGTCTGGCTTATTTTGGGGGGCCTTAGCTCAGTTTATAGCTTGGAGGAAGAGGAGCTCCATCATTTGGGGGAACATGAATAGAACTGTTGCTCCTCCATATAAAAAAAATTAATAAGTTGAACTGGATCGGGCATCAGAATGAGTCCCTTTTGCACACCTCACTTGGAGAAACCCAAGGCAAAGTGGGAACTAGATGAATGGATTATATTTCCCCTCCAGCCTAGAATCATCCAGAATCAACCAGAGTTTGTCGCTTGGAAGAGCAGTGTCTGGGGTTCCCTTTTAGCCCTCCACAAATTTTTTGGGATGGATGGATGGATGGATGGATGGATGGATGGATGGATGGATGGATGGATGGATGGATGGATGGATGGATGGATGGATGGATGGATGGATGGATGGATGGATGGATGGATGGATGGATGGATGGATGGATAGATAGATAGATAGATAGATAGATAGATAGATAGATAGATAGATAGATAGATAGATAGATAGATAGATAGATAGATAGATAGATAGATAGATAGATAGATAGATAGATAGATAGATAGATAGATAGATAGATAGATAGATACACAAACACACAGTACTTTACAGGAATGTAATGATTCTCTATTTTTAAGGCTGTAGCAACTTTACATTAGAAACGCTGCTTCAGCTTTGACTGGCTAACATAACTAAAGGATCAAATAATATTTTCTTTTAGTGCAGACCATAAAACTATAGTATGGCTTAATTTTCTCATGAGTGCTATTGAACTAGACCAATGACATTAAAATATGCTAACATTACTTTTGACCTCCATCTTGCTAGATACAATGAATTTGTTTTTTTAAAAGCCATCTTTGCATATTTAATCCTTCATATGCTATCTCCTAATTTGCATTTATTTGTATACGCTATCTTATTTAGACAACTGTATGTTATCATGCTGCTGCCCAATAATTTCCCAGTTCTGAGTAAATAAAGTATATTTTACTTTTATCTCTGTTAAATGTGTTGGCTCTTGGCCCCATGTTAGATGCCTGTATAGATTTGATGCTGGTCCTACATCAGGGGCGTAAACCTCATTCACACTGGATCCCTGCGTCCTCCGTTCCGTCACAAATAGAAGCTTTTCTAGTCATCGTGGTAATTCCTTCTAGCTCTGTTACACTGCAGCATGACGTAAAGCTCTCTTTCGTCATCAATCTGATATCCGGACCCAGTTTATTTGTAACAGGACAAAATGTGTGAATGTCTAAAAAACAGATAACCCAAAACGAAAGTTGGACACTTGGAGAGTAAAGCGGATACGGAATATTTTAATATGAGAGGTGATGCACGAATGGAAGGGTACGCAACTGTATGGTAACATTATGTGATGGATAACCTAGTGGAAATGTGCCATATCATGGTTTCAAACTCCAGTGAACCTCGATATCGTGCATTTTTATATTGTCCCTACTCTGACACGCCTGAATGAAATGACACATTTACTCCTTCCTGTATTCAGGTTCTGCAGAGACCTGCTAAGAGGTGATTATTGGATTCAGGTGTGTTGACACAGAGAGCTGCAGGAGACCAGTACTTCTCTATTTTCTAGATGTATTTCCAAGTTAGATGATACAGCTCTTAATTTTGAGGTATTTAACTGGTTTCTCAAAACATTTTATATATATATATATATATATATATATATATATATATATATATATATATATATATATATATATATATATATATATATATATATATATATATATAAAAAACTGTTTTCTCACCCCTCGTGGGGTGGTATGTGTCATCCTCAAGCTCGGGTCCTCTACCAGAGGCCTGGGAGTTTGAGGGTTCTGCGCAGTATCTTAGCTGTTCCTAGGACTGCGCTCTTCTGGACAGAGACCTCTGATGTTTTACCTGGAATCTGCTGTAGCCACTCTCCCAGTTTGGGGGTCACAGCCCCCAGTGCTCCAATTACCACTGGCACCACTGCTGCTCTTACTTTCCACATCTTTTCTAGCTCCTCCTTCAGTCCTTGGTATTTCTCAAGCTTCTCGTGTTCTTTCTTCTTGATGTTGCTGTCGCTTGGGATTGCCACATCTATCGCTACTGCCTTCTTCTGCTGTTTGTCGATCAACACGATGTCTGGTTGGTTAGCCATCACCTATATATATATATATATATATATATATATATATATAGATATATAGTGGAGGATGTTCTTTTTCCGGGTGGATCATTAAAATAAGTGGTCCTCCCATTGTCAATCATTCTGGTGATATGTTTACGTAACGCTGTCCTACGTGCTCATCCTAATTTTCACTTACTGGTGGTGAGTCCGACATGGTGAAAAAATCATGTAAGCTTGCATGAGCGATGCACACAGCAACTTTAAAACAGAGCGTGCACAAGATGAAATGGGCTGGTGCATGCTCTTGCATGCATTTAATAGGCTTGTGCATATGTTTTTTAAAACATTTGCAAAAATCCTCCACTATACCTTTAAATGATGTTAACTACTCCCAGAAGCCCATTATAAGCCCATACCTGGTGAGCCTAAGCAAAGTCCATAACCCATATAAACATGTTTTTAGTGCTCCTTTACCCTCGCCCTGATTCAGATAAAAACTTTATTCAACTCAGTAGAGCAGGAAGACATCTACAACCTACAAGTTCATTTATTGCTATTGTGCATTCACAATGCCTATACTCCAAACCAGTTTGTATTTCCAGAATATGACTGCATATTTCTATTTCTTTTTATTAATTCTAAAATTAAATTTCTCCTTGGTCCAGCCTGCAGCATTAGGTTAAACAATGCCGATTGCAACAGCTGGATTGATGAGCCGCAGTAGCTTGGAAACCATTGGGAATGACATTAAATCTGACAGAAGTGGGCCACGCAGAGAGAGGATGATGATGATGCTGATGTGGATTACGCTCTCCAGCTCACTGTGCCTGATGGTTGAGGGCCAGATGAAGATCCCACCAGAAACGTGAGTACAGCTGCAATAATTAAACCCTTGATCTATTAGCCATTTTTTTTCTCAACATCTCTTAAATCAGCGGAATACAGAAATGTTGACTGAACTATAAAAAGTTTGCATTATTGTTAATTTATTTACAGTTCAAGATTAATCAATGTCATCTATAGGATTCCTTCTCCTCAAAATGAAACGCATTGTTTCCTCATCCATGGATAGTAGTTTGCACAACAGAAATTAGCAGTTTTATCAGGCAGGTTCCATGTTTATCATTATAAACCCACAGGTGGCACGGGTGTTAAAGCCATAGCCATAATGGATGACTCAATACTGTCATGTCTGTCATTTGGCATAAGCACACTGTATGGACCATCTGTTAACCTGTGGGATACAAAGAACAGCCAAATTATACTACAATCTTTCAGCTGCTGCTGATAGAGAAGGATATTTGAAATGAAAATCTGATTGTCGTTTTCAGACAAAATATTAGCCTGTGATAATAATAACTAAATAACTAATGGCCAAATTTAACAATGATTTATACCAAAAGTCAATATTTTTTCTGACTATCTAGATTTATACTAGTGTTCTAATATAGTGCTTACCCCCAGATCAATAAGAAATTAGAAGCTGGTACATAAACTGAATTGAATCACAGAAGATAAAATCAAAATGAGAAAACTGCAATTTGTATTTACTCAAGTTATAGCAAGAAATAATTTCTTTCCCATTAGGACAGAACGACTTAAGATTTAAAACAGTAGAGTTTTGCAGGTCAGCTTTTATTTTGCAGTCTGGTGAAGATTTGACAACATGGCCTTTGTTTTCACTGAGGGTTAAGAAAGCCATGGCTCCAACATTTCAGGCCAGGAGGGTCAGCTCTTTAGTCGCTGTTGCAGAATGACTACTCTAACTTGAGAGAAAAAAAAAGGATGATTATTTTTTATCCATGGAAAATATCCTTCTCAGTTAACTTTGTTTATATTTGCCTCTTTCCTTCTTTATTTACTTTGCTTCATCTTGCAGATTTCCAATATCTATTTTTATTTTTCCTTTATTTTCCTTTTATTTTATTTTTTTTTACAATGTTGCAAACAGACAGAGCTGCTGAACTGTATATTGTAAATTAGAGCCTTTTCATTCAGAGTCTGATCTCAATTAAGCTCATTTTTTCACTGAAATTAGCAGCATCAACACCCTGCTATACTTAATGCAATTCAGTATCATTAGTCTACATCATGCATACAAACGCTAATTAGGTGACCACAAGTGAAATCAAATAAAACATAAAAAATGTAAGAGCTTCATGTGTTACTTTTTAAAGTTAATAGATATCAGTTGATCTAAAGGATCTTCTAAAAGTATGGTTTGATATTTAAATAGTAATGCATTTTAAAAGATGGAGAGAAAAATGTAAACAATTTGAGTTTGTTTCTCATTTATTGTGTCCATAAGTATTCAGAAAAAAACCTTTATTTTTTGGTTTTGCTCACCTTACTATTAGTTTTTGTTTAGCTTTTAAGTTGTGCAGATACTCATAGACAGGGTTTGTTTTGGATGCCAAACAAAGCAGAGTATCGAAAGGATAAACCAGTATAATAATGCAATTACTGTTCTTTCTTATTCACTATTAGTAAGAGAGAGTAATCAAGCAAGAATCTGGCTCACAATTTGTAGCATTTCAGAAAGCAACTTAAACTTTTCTACACGCTCGCATTTTAAATAAATAAACTAATAACTGTAAAGAATGTCAACAAATCTAAAAGCACCGAGCTGTCAATACTGAGGAGGCAGTTTGTCTATGTCCCAGTGAGCTGGCTGACTCCCCATAGGTTGAGCCATCTGTCACATCCTGTCTATTCTATGACCTTATCTCAGTTGCTTTCACATGGAGGATTTGTAGAATTACTGCATGTTTCTGAGCACAGAATAACCCCTTGTTCTGGCATACAGCCTGTCCGCTTCCAATCCCACCTTCAGTGTTATCTGACTAAATCTCTCATTGGGGAACTCCAATCATAATGAAACTACCACTATGTTCACCCCATTCAAGATACAAAGGCTTTTTTTGTTTTGTTTTCTTACTTTTGTAAATAGGGGTGTTTCCTTCAACAGAGACAGGAAATGTGTTCAAAGTAGATGGGACGGAAGTTGAGGCTGAAGGGAGGGAATTGCTGGAAGAAACTCTTAGAGGCAGCAAAAGATGTGTAACTGGGGCAAAGGATCATCAACCAGCAGAACAAATAGTGTTAACAGAGCTGCAAGGTGTGAGAATTTGTGAAGATCAGATCAAATTGAGATTTTAAGGCAGGACTTAAAAATGTATTTGTATAGGAAATCTTTCCCCACCCTGCGCTAACATAAAGAACAGGTTGAAAATTCAGTCTCTAGACATGTAAAGGGTTGAGAGGCAAAAAAAGGATACCAAATCTTTCGGATTTTTATTTGTAAGAATACAAAAAAAGCTTTATCAATGTATGATTTTCAGTCCACTTAAATGATTCACTACTGTTGGTCTAACACCCAAAATAAAATAAAAATATGACCCATTTTAACGGGTGTAAGTGTGTTAAATTTCCCTGTGTTACACATTTCATCCATGTTCATATGATATGTATAAAAAAAAAAGACAGGCAGAGTTTAACTTGAAATGAATGATGTTTTCTGTGTCCAGTGTGCAGCAGTGGGCCGTGTCCTTCGGCAAAGAGCTAAATGCTTTGTCCAGCAAATACTCTGGAGCAAAACTTTTACAGAAGGTAAGAGTCCTCACATGTTTATGCTGAAAAAGCAACGATACGTGTTGTTAGCCACACTAACTGACCCACATCTGAATAAAACAGATGTCGGTCAGTAGACATTTCCACGCTGCTTCCGAAGCCATCTGGGAAACATTCATTATGCTTTGGGATGCTTTGGTAATTTCACACAGATTATAGTGAGCAAAAGCTAAGAGTTAGAGTAGAGATGTATAAACGTTGAATAAGGGTCACCTTAAATCTATCTACATAGATTGACATGTAGCACATATTTTTAAATTGTGTTGTTGTTATTCAGGCAGATCATAAATTGTTGAGATGCTATATTGAATACACTAATCTCAGCTATCTCACTAAAATAAACATTTTTTTTTATGCAGAAAGAAAAATGTGAAGTTTGAAAATGAGAAATTTTATTACCTTTGAGTTTCTGGCGTACATTTTCTGCACATCTGCAAAATCTGCAGAAACCCAGTGGTGACACAGTTAACCCAAATACAACTGGGATATGTCTTTCAGTAATTAGTACGTGCAATCTTCCTCTGCATGCTTCCTCCAGAATCCCTGGCAGGCCTGTTCACCATCTGCCACACTTATTTGTGTTTTTCAGATACCTTTTGTTAACTTTTTAAATATTTGTTAAATGTGTTTTTTGTTTTTTTTATATCTCATCCACAATATCTGGATACTAAAAAAAATACCAAAAGCCAGGAGCCATGCAAGACATTCATCTTTCCATCTAAATACCCACCTTTTGTGTCTTGGCCCAAATGTTTGCAGGAACACTTTCATTATTAGTTGTTTATACATAGCATGTACTTTCTGATATGTTTTAAGCTCATCTTTGTATCCAGACCCAGGTGTGTTTAAAGCACCCAGTACATCAATTTAATCTTTGCAACATGAAGCCATTAATCATCTACCTTTAACTAATCGATGGTCTTCTGGTAATGGAGCATTTTGTGCCTAGGACCTCTTGGTTGTGTAACCTGGCTAAGCTATTGAATGTTCTTTGGTTGCAAGATTCTGAAAGAGCATTTTAATTTTGTTCTGCCCCTGAAGCTTTGTTTATATGTAATTATATATATATATTTATTTTTGCTATATGCTCTTTATAATCCTTCCTCTCATCTATATCTGCCCCCCTGCTCCAAGGTAGAGGAATAAGTGACGATAACTTCTATGAATTTCACAGATTTTATATTGATTTGTTTTGAATCTTTTCACCGATTAGTTTATAGTGTTAATGCAGTCTGGAAAACCTTTTTTTCTTGGTATGATAAATATGTAAAATCATGTAGAATATGCATGTGTACAGGCTTCATTCTCCATCATATTGACTCAATCTAATGAGAAAAAAATGAGTTCATCCAACAATCTGTTTATCCATCTATTAATACTTTAATTCTTTCATCAGTTTGTCCAGTTTGTTTTTGTTTCCCTGGACAAACTCAATTATTTTGGGTAAGAAACGAATCATGCCAGAAAATTATTTTCTTTACATATCGTACTTGCTTTGACAATTACTGGTTTGGCATTTCTTTATGAAAATGTGAATCTGTCTTTCTAATAAGTATTATAGGTAGAGATTGCTCATTGTTGTTTTGATCAGAGGTGATAATAAAAAAAAAATTTAAACTTTATTCATTAATTAGATTTTTTTCCCTTTTTAATTTATTGCTATCAACAATCTAAGGAATAAAATGATGATCAATTTAATTATTTTTTTCACTCCAATTAAGTGGAAGAAGATATGTTTAAATGGGAACACATTCAACATGCTTTGGTGGGCTTCAGTCTTCGTCCCGACAGACTGGGTTTGAATCTGACTTGTGGTTCTTTGCCGCATGTCTCTACCCCTCTACTATACCCCCTTTCCTGTCAGCCTACTCTAAAAAACAAACAAACAAAAAAAACCGAGCCACTAGTGCCATAAAAACTAAAAATAAAAATTGTTGCACATAGGTAAATTGGTGCTACCAATCTGCAAAAGGGTGACTCGAGCAGAAGCCAGTGTTAGAATCAGCAAATTGTTTAAAACTACCGATCGGACCAGGATGTGACATTCTACATGTTCTTTTTGGCTGCCATAGCACAGAATGAGATCCTGTCGGGCTTCATGATTTACATAAAGACACTAAGCTGCAGCAAAAGTGGATTTGGAAAGCTGCTTAACAAATCTGACCCCAAACCAGCTGAGGTTCTCCACAAAAACAGCTGCAAACTGCATAGCTGTTTTTACTGCATATTCAGCATGCACAGAAATTTAAAGCTAGCCATCTAGCTGGTTATTTCATCCTTTATAGCTCTTATTTATTTATGTAGTAATGTCAGTTTTCTAATTGGGTTATATCCTGTAAGGGTTTACCAAGATGGTGGAGACACCAACTCAGATTGCTCATAGATTCTCAGTCACTGTATAAAAAAGAAGAACTGAAACCTTTTATTAAGGCAACTTTGTAGGCAAGAGATGTTCCTACAAGATTAGCATCAAATTTATCAATTAGTTTGAAAGGTCTTTAAACTTGTACATGCCTTGATTGAAGGTATACTTGTAAAATCTTTGGCTTCAACTGAATAGTAGCCTAGTGGTTAAGGCATAGAGCTTGGAATCCTGCGGTTCGGAGTGAGAGCCCCACTCCCACAGGCTGCCACTATGGGCCTCTGAGCAAAGACCCTTAAATCCCACACCGCTCCCCGGGCGGCCCACAATGGCAGCCCACTGCTCCCCAGGGGGATGGGTTAAATGCAGAGAGTGAATTTCATTGCTCTCTCCTTGTGACAGTGTAATGACAATAATAAGCTGAGAAAAATACTTTTATTGGGTGTAAGACCTAAATAAGTCTGCTTAAGTTCAGCCTTCATCACCAAATGTCTCATTTAATGAAACCATGTGTTTTACAGAAATACAAGGATGTGGAGGGCATGGTGAAGATGGAGGAGGTGAACGGTGAAGAGCTGGTAAAGAAGTTTGCAGAGGAAATGGAGGAGATGCTTGGGAGGAAAATGAAATCAGTTAAGGTAATAATGACATCTTAAAGAACAGACTGTATTTTTCCTGCATCAGTCTGTTGCTTTATTATTCACAAGAGCCTCTGTAATATGATCACAGCTTTGACTTTGCTATTAAGAAGTTGTATTATGCCACAGAGATTAGCAGAAGCAGCAGAGGATGCTGATCTTGGCCACGAGTACAATGAAACACTAGAGGTATGTAGGATTTTTTTTTTTTGGCACAAACATTGTTTCAGATGGACAGTAAAATATTCTTCTCATATTTAGCTCTATATGCAACACTTTACCAACCCTTGAGGTTATCTAAAGTTTAACGATTTTTTCCTGGCAGAAGTGCCTCTTTTTGCACATTTCATTTTCTTTCTAACAGGCAACTCTTATATTTTTAGACTCCTAAAATGTATAGATGTCATTTTCAATTTCCTCTGCTATTTTTGATGGCTTATGGCCTATGCAGTCATAGTAAAGATTGATCAGGAGGGTTAAAGACAGTTTGTTCATCAGTGTTGAGTTGATGCAAAACGTTTTCTAGAAAAGTGCACAAGAACCAGAACCAACTACAGCATTTCTTGTTGCAATTCTTATAAAATAGGAATTTAGTTTTTTTATTAGCAAAAAGGTGCTGTCATCAACATTTATTAAAATGATGCATGAGATATATCTGTCTGTGTGCAGTATTATTTATATAAACAGAAGAATTCTATAATTTTTCTAAATTTAAATTATGCTCACGTCTGTCTGTCTCACACATATATAAAAATGTCATTTAAGAGTTTTAATCCCCCACGGTCCTTGCCTGGTAATGATTGTTTGGTTGATGTTTCCAGTTTGACTACTTTAACTCCCTGCTGATCAACACTGTGGATGAAGAAGGAAATCCGATACCGCTTGGAGGAGAATTTCTCTTGGAGGAAAATGAACATTTCAATAAACTTTCAGTCAACACACAGCAGAGTAATATACAAGTCCCAACAAATGTTTACAATAGAGGTAAAACAGAGTCAAAGCTTCATTGCACAGCATTACATTTCCCAAGAAACTAAACTCTGTTTCTTTTTATTTGTTTACAGATCCTGACATTCTTAATGGGGTCTACATGTCTGAGGCACTAAACGATGTTTTCATTGATAACTTTCAAAAGGATCCAACTCTCACCTGGCAGTACTTTGGCAGTGCCACTGGGTTTTTCAGGCTTTATCCAGGTATACTGAGTAGCTTGTTTGCATCCTGCGAGGCACTTTGGCAATGGAACAAGACAAGTTACATTTAAAATAAGATAAAATAATTGCATTTTCTTATTTCAAGTGCATATTATCTAATTATCTTATTTTAAGAGTAAAAATACTAAACCCATTTTCAGATCATCTTAATTACCTGCCAAAATAAAGGCTAAATACACCTAATTTAAGAAATGACCTATTTCCAGATCGTTTTGCAGTGATGATTTCAGATTTAAGATCCAGCTGTTAATTTTTTCATCTATTATGCTGTTAAGAAAGCGGGTGTAGCTGCAGATACATTTTAGTGTTTCAAATGCATTGCTGGTTACATTTTTAAACTGAGTACAGGCGTTTTAAACCCATCTTTAGTTGTTTACTTTGGTTATGTTTAGTTTAACTAGTGGACAATGATCCCAAATATGTGGCCAAAACATCAGATATGTTTCACCAGACACAGTGCATGGCTACCTCAATCATTAGGTCTAAATCCTACAGATAATTAGTCTAACTTGGTTGCCAGTACATGTGGTAAGAAACTGCACAGTGATTTGGTTTTAGATGGAATATAGCTGCAGTAAAATGTGTCTGTTTGTTGACTCTCAAAAACCCTTGGTTCTGTTTGTCTTCTTCTTCTAGGAATCCAGTGGATTCCAGATGAAAATGGTGTGGTGACCTTTGACTGCCGAAACAGAAACTGGTAAAATGACATTCCTACCAACATCATTCACCCAAAAAGTATTTTTCTTCATTGATGCATCATATGTGGGAGTGGCGTCCTTGTGGTTAGAGCATAGAGCTTGGAATCTTGAGGTTCTTAGTTCCAATCTGGGTCTCTGAGCAAGACCCTTAACCCCACACAGCTCCGTGGGCGCCCCACGATGGCAGGCCACTGCTTCCCAAGGGAAAGGGTTAAATGCAGAGATAAATTTCTCCAATGTGAGATCAATAAAGTTTAATTATTTTTATTATATTTTCTCAGTAAAGCAAAAAAGAAATCTGTTTTTAACTACTGCCAATTTCCATATATCAGATGTTTGTTTGGAATTTTAAAAACAAATAGTGTTTGCAGGCATTGCTCTGTTTTGTAAATAAAATGGAACCAGCTAAATAGCTGTTTTCACCCATGAGAAATGTGACAGAGCTGAATAAAAAAAAACTTTTCCCTGCAATTTTCAAAATTACACAGTTTTTGATGTTATTATATTAAGCCATATTACAAACCAAATAGTATCTTTATGCAATCTAGTATCTTTACAGCAGTAGTTGAAGGAAGCAGAGGGAAGGAGGATGTTTAGTTATCATAGAATAAAAAGGGGAAAAAAAGTTGCCTTCATTAGTCTGATATTCTTTAATTAAAGTGCAAATAATTTCCTCAGATGTGTTTTATCTGCTGCCCTGGAAAGGCCTTGAAAAACGCTGTATATGATGGAGAAGAAATTCTGCACATCCTCCCTGTCACAAAGGACGGCTGCAGCATAGGGAAGCTTTGTGGTTGTCTTTCAGATAAAAGCCGGATGCAGAACGCAGTAAATAGATGGTTTCAATCCGTGGGGATAAAACCTCAAATGCAATTCATGCTCGTCTTCTTTTAAGAATAAATGCTTCCAAAAAAAATCCTTAGATTTTTGAAAATCAATTAAGGCAAATACATAAGTTAATAATTATGTAACTTTAATTCCCGCAAGTAAGACTGTAGAAACGGCACAGCCTTTCGCTGTTCTTCAAAGTTGCATGGAAAAGCTTATGAAGTTCCAGGAACTGTTCCTAGTTCTTGGAGAGACAGAACATTGTACTGAAGAGCGGAAATCACGGAGCTAACTGGTTTGAACTGCTTCCAATCACAGCTGCTACAGTGGAAATCTCATTTGTGCATAATTGGCTTAGAAAGACGGGGGATGATAATAAAGGGATGACGGTACGCAGGAACGGAAGACTGGAGGAACAAATAAAAGGATAATGCTTGCTCTTTTTGTCAACCTCCTTGTAGATGTCATCTTTATCCTTATCTGTGTTTTTAGGTACATACAGGCAGCCACTTCTCCTAAAGACGTGATCATTGTGGTGGATGTCAGTGGCAGCATGAAGGGTCTGAGACTGACGATAGCCAAGCACACAATTAATACAATCCTAGATACTCTGGGAGAAAATGACTTTGTTAACATCATTGCTGTAAGTATAAACATGTAGGGATGTAATCATGAGATTTACACTACGGATTATATTTATATTAAAACATTTCTTTCTGCTTTAAACTGGTATTTAAAATGGCCTGTATGAGTGATTATATTATTATTTCATTAAAGTTTAGATAAAATTAAAAAGCCTTAAACCTATTTTTTTTTTCATTCTGGCTGCCTTTCTATATGGCTGAATTTTTGCTCATTTGTCTCATTCTGTGGGTTTTCTCTCCAGTACAGTGACTATGTTCGCTATGTGGAACCTTGTTTCAAGGGCATTCTGGTACAAGCTGATCTGGATAATAGAGAGGTAACTCACACACACACAAAAGAAAAGGGGGGAAAAAATAGGCGTGCACTGGCTCACAGCTAATTAATACAATTAGACTCTGCTGAACCAATCCTGCTTATCCTCAGATGACAGAGGTTCACACGACTGTAAAACATTACAGTTAAAGTGCACAGTCAAGGTCTTAGGGGGCACTTTAGCTTGCAGTTCAGTGGCAGCAGGTTATTATGATCTAAATAGCGCTCAGTAAATTAAAAGTGGAGGAGGTTAATTTCATCCATTACCTGCATCTTAACCAAGACTGCTATGGGAGCAACAGGTCCAGGACGGAACCTCACACACCTTCCTCCTTGCCCATTTTCATGGGGATTCTGAAGCATTCCCAGGACAGATGATATATACTGTATATAGGGTATACCTTTGGTCTCTTTACAGCAGGATGCTCCTGGAAAACCTCCAAAGGGAAGTGCTAGGGTACATCGTGGTCAGATGCTTGAGTGCCTCACCTCACCTCTTTCCATTTGCAAAGCAGCTTTGAGCTCCCCACACATGCATGAGCTTGTTACAATTTAACAGCCAACCTCTAAAGGAAAGTAATTTCAGGGGAGTTGGGCAGGCGCTTTGACTTACTCTCATCCGGGCCAGTGCACCCAGGGGATCAAGACCTGAAGAAGCTCAAACAACCACAATATTGACAAAAATCAAAGATACATTTCAGAGGTTTTTTTCTCAAAGTCTACACATTGACATCTATTCATGGGGTTCACAAAGATGTTCTGTGACTCTTGGCTGTGGCTAGAGTTTGAGCTTATCATTTTACATTTATACAACGAGTGAATAGACCTTAAAAGCTTCTTTGTGACCCATATTCCTGTAGTATACCTGAAAATTCCTCGGGGGGTTAGAGAGGTCACCCATAGAACCAAAGCTTAGGTGGGCAGGATCCTTCAAAGAAGTTACGGTAACTCATTTCAGTATTTCACTTCAAAATGAGAATCGTATCGATTCCTCACAATGAAACATTTTTAACCTTAATTTCTATTAATTTAACCAAAAAGTTAGTTTCTGTAAAAATGAGAATCTAACAAAAGACCTCTATGATGGTGTCGCAGGGGTCAAAGGTGAAACCTACACTATATTGCCAAAAGTATTTGCTCACCTGCCTTGACTCACATATGAGCTTAAGTGACATCCCGTTCCTAATCCATAGGGTTCAATATGACGTCGGTCCACCCTTTGCAGCTAGAACAGCTTCAACTCTTCTGGGAAGGCTGTCCACAAGGTTTAGGAGTGTGTTTATGGGAATTTTTGACCATTCTTCCAGAAGCGCATTTGTGAGGTCGCACACTGATGTTGGACGAGAAGGCCTGGCTCTCAGTCTCCGCTCTAATTCATCCCAAAGGTGTTCTATCGGGTTGAGGTCAGGACTCTGTGCAGGCCAGTCAAGTTCATCCACACCAGACTCTGTCATCCATGTCTTTATGGACCTTGCTTTGTGCACTGGTGCACAGTCATGTTGGAAGAGGAAGGGGCCAGCTCCAAACTGTTCCCACAAAGTTGGGAGCATGGAATTGTCCAAAATGTCTTGGTATGCTGAAGCATTCAGAGTTCCTTTCACTGGAACTAAGGGGCCAAGCCCAGCTCCTGAAAAACAACCCCACACCATAATCCCCCCTCCACCAAACTTTACACTTGGCACAATGCAGTCAGACAAGTACCGTTCTCCTGGCAATCGCCAAACCCAGACCCGTCCATCAGATTGCCAGATGGAGAAGCGCGATTCGTCACTCCAGAGAACGCGTCTCCACTGCTCTAGAGTCCAGTGGCGGCGTGCTTTACACCACCGCATCCGACGCTTTGCATTGCACTTGGTGATGTATGGCTTGGATGCAGCTGCTCGCCCATGGAAACCCATTCCATGAAGCTCTCTGCGCACTGTTCTTGAGCTAATCTGAAGGCCACATGAAGTTTGGAGGTCTGTAGTGATTGACTCTGCAGAAAGTTGGCGACCTCTTCGCACTATGCGCGTCAGCATCCGCTGACCCCGCTCCGTCAGTTTACGTGGCCTACCACTTCGTGGCTGAGTTGCTGTCGTTCCCAAACACTTCCATTTTCTTATAATACAGCTGACAGTTGACTGTGGAATATTTAGGAGCGAGGAAATTTCACGACTGGATTTGTTGCACAGGTGGCATCCTATCACAGTTCCACGCTGGAATTCACTGAGCTCCTGAGAGCGACCCATTCTTTCACAAATGTTTGTAAAAACAGTCTGCATGCCTAGGTGCTTGAATTTATACACCTGTGGCCATGGAAGTGATTGGAACACCTGATTCCAATAATTTGGATGGGTGAGCAAATACTTTTGGCAATATAGTGTATGTAGTCTTAGGATCCCAAATACCATTAATTGTAACCCCGATCTCCTGTTACTAGCTCCTATCCCTTCACCTTTAACGTGGTCAACAATAAGAACATATCGAGCATAGGAAAGGAACTCCGAACTCCAATGGATTTGGAAAGCCCTTAGCTTTATGCTACGTTCACAACATACGCAATTTCAGCAGCAAAAAAAGTGCCTGCTGCTTCATCTTTGATGCTTGTCCACATTTAGATCAAGAGCTTCAAAGATGCTCCTGAAGCGCGTCCAGTGAAGTGTGTACAGATGCGTCTGGTGCTTCTGCTGCTCCAGTGTTCAATGACAGAGAGCGGCTTTGCTATATTTGCTTTAATCTGTGGGGGAAAAGTACTTTTAACATATTTTTAAGCGAGTTTGGACATCCTAAATTAATGTCGCCATTAATAAACAGTTTCAGGGCAGTGATCATAGCTCTCTGCATCAGCAGTGCTGTGTCCGTCTCCCTGCCAGCTCCCTGATCAGCTTCTCTGATTGGTTGATGTGGCGTGTCGGGCAGCAAAAGTTCAATTTTTCCAACTACAGCTTCTGCTGCCTGTGAAGCGTGTTAGATACACAGAATCTCATGAGGCACTGCTTCTGCTGCTCAAGATGCAATGCAGGATCTTTTGAAGCGCCTTGATGCACGTCATCAAGAGTGATGACGGTCAAGGTAACACTACAGTCTTCCTGCAAAGAACTGAGAAAAAACACAAGTTACACAAATGTAAAGAACAGCTGAAGCTCTCTGTTATACAATACAAAACAGCTGCCGTGATTCTGTGGAGCAGTAGTCAGCGTGAACAACCCATATACGGAGGCCTTAGTCCTGTGGCAGACCAGGGTTTCAAACCAAGCCACTAGTGCCCTAAAAACCTAAAAAAAATTGAATAAAATACAAAACATCTAAAGGCAAGGACATTTGCATATGTCTCACACAGTGTGGTTGAAAAATAATGAAATATTGTCAAACTCTATGAGGTGGGCCTTTACTCCTATCATGCAAAGGATTGTGGTGAGCTGTATAGCTCCTAGTAGCAGCTAGGAATGTCAGGTGGTCTTATGCTAACTGAATTTGCGCTGGGAATACTGCACACTGCTTCCTCTGCATAGCTCCTCCCTAACTGCCAGCACTACTCTGATAGCCCTTATCACGGTGACAACTGACACACTTCCGTCGTGGCTTAAGTGTCCTAACCGATTTTAGGTATTCCGGCTGAGCCTTAGTTCTAAACAAAGCTGTCACAGCTTTGAGTTCCAACCTGGACGGACCTTTGCTGCATGTTTTATCCCCCCATGTCACTTTTTCTAAACAGTTCACTTTCACAAAAGCCATTGGGCCAAAAAAAAGGGGGGGGAAACATCAATATTACATTGGACAGTATCTTTATGTCTGGTACAGAATGAGTGTTTAGCTTGGTCAGGGCTCCTTTTGCATGAATTTCTTCAATTATAAAACTTGTCATGGAGGTGATCAAAGGTGTTAAGGCTGGTTGCTAAAATGACTCTAAATATTATTCATTTTTCATTATTTTAAGACTAATACTCTTTGAGTGAATACAAAAGTTTTTTGTTTTTTTTTTAGTAATGCGGAAAAGACAAGAGGCACAAAATGACATTGCAACAAGTGAGGACGAAGTATAAATAACATACATTTAAATCACCAATTCTAAATTGTTATGAGTAAACTTAACCAATTAAAGAATTAATTGGCTATTCAGCATATGCAAATAATGACCCCCTAAACAATATAATGGGTCTATCTTCTTATTAAAATGCTGGCATATTTATTTATTTTTCTGCCAAATTTAAAAACAAATTCCTCCAGGAAATGTTAAACATCTAACTGCGGTCAGATATCTTTGGAGTATTTGTGCTGTGACCGCAACAGGTTCTTCTAGAAAAAGATCAACTATTTCCATCACTTAAGAAGCTGGAATAATGCAGGGTTATTTTTAAACATCCTCACTACAGAGCAACTTTCATATTTGTTGTCATACCTTAAGGTAACGGCTTTCTAGCTTTCAGAAGCAGAAAATCCAGAATATACAGGAACTCTAGAACCTACACTGTATTGCAACTAACTATGCTTTGTGAAATGGAGACCTGTATGTTAAATTTAGAAAACACACATCCTAATAAAGAAAGGAAGCAAAAAACCAAAGCTGCAACAAGGGCACAAATATAAGGTAATTCCTTACTTCTAAGAAACATAGTTTTGTTTTCTTGAATTATGCATCTGAAATATATTATTGACTTTTGCCAATTCTTCCAGCAAGTTACCAGGGTTTTTAAACAGATTACTCTTTTTTTTTTTTTTATGTTTATTTCTATTCTATCTATAAATACATTTTTTGCATACAGTAAAGTCCTACTATGCATCAAATGTGACTTTTAATGGTTAACAACAATGCATTAACTACTGTAGATGTGATATTTTTCTGTTTTCCTTGTTCTTTCACAGCATTGCTGGCAAATTTGTTCGACACCAATAATTAAATTGTCAAAAAAGAGTAACATTTAACTGTGAAGTTGAAGTAAAGCTTAAAGCTTTATACAGTGAACGAAAAGTTTTTTTAAACGTCTGTTTTCAAGGCTTGTTACAGATTCTTAAAAGTACTTAGGTGTTTGACTGCTGCTAGATTAACCTGTAGCTTTAGCTTCATCCGTCTTCAAATAATTTCTGATCACATTTTTTGACACTGCATCAGAAAATAATTCCTACATCAATATATTGTTGGCGTCTTTTTTAAAACAGAAAGTTTTTTGCATGCAGCCAAAAAAGTTAGATCTCTGACCACCTGTTTCTTAAGGCAAACTAATATAGTGTTTTTTTGCTAATGGTCACAGTAGTAAATACCTCAGACCTGAGCTGTAAATCTCTAAAGCTCCTCCCAATTTCTTTGCTGCTATGCTGATTAAAGCTCTCTAGGAGCTTTGGTAAACTCCTCATGCTCTTTGGGGTAGTTGGTTTCCTTGGATTCTATTCATTGGTTTTTGAATGAAGGGTGTACTCCTAACCTGGCAGTAGCCAATTTGATACGTGTAAAACTGAGCCTTACAGTATGTTATGGATTTGTTGTGAGACTGACAACTCAGATCACAGGACAGTCCAGCTTGCAGCGCAAGGTTAATGTACCGGTACTCAAAAGGTTTTAAAATTCTAATTTGAAAACATCAGTATCCTTTGAGCCAGAAACAAACAGTAAGACTATTTGTTGGTAAAAAAAATAAAATAAATAACACTCCGACAATACAGAAGAAATTAAAGTTTTGTAAAATAACATAATGTGTTTTTAATGTGTTTTTACTTAAAAAAGATACATGTGGAAAAGGTTTGCATTTTTTCTGATTTAACAAAATACATGTGGTAAATGTCAGCTCTCCAATTAGGGTGAAAATAGCTACATTGTTAACTTAATGTTTTGCTCATACGTGGATTTTTTTTGCTGTAAAATATCAAATATGGAAGCACTACTTGCTGTAAGTGTGATAGCCTGAGTGAATATGTTAATTAATCCTGATGACCTCCAGGTGCTGTAGTTGCTTTGATTTCCTTGGTCAGCATGCCAAGGAACCAGGGTTTGGAAGAGGGAAATAGTGACAATGAAGGTTGGAAGATAGCAGCATCAAAAAATGAGAAAAAGCGGAAAAAACAGAGATCAGTTAAAGGGGAATCTAGTTCAGAACAATCCAGTGATGATCAATCCATACATTCCACAGCACAACAAAATGAATTCAAAGTCATATTCAAAGTCGTTAATCAGGCAGACTCTTTTACAAACTGGAATCCGGTTCACTTAACAAAAACCATCAATAAACTTGTTGGAGAAGTCAGAGGTGCCAGAATTCTGTACAGTGGAGACCTGCTAATTAACTGCAGAGACAGCGCCCAGCAAGGCAAAGCAATACGTATTAACAAAATTGACGGGATAAGAGTTCAGTGCAGCCTAATGGAGAACAAAAAGATCAGCAGGGGAGTCATTGGAGGAGTTCCTCTGAAAATTTCTGAAAAAGAGATTCTGGAAAACATAAGCGGTGCAAAAGTAAAAGAAGTAAAACGGTTAAAAACAACAAGAAACGGAGAAAGATCTGACAGTTTATCTGTACTAATTAAATTCGAGGAAGAGCAATTACCAAGCAAAGTATTCATCGGTTACATCAGTTACAATGTCAAAATCTACAATCCACCACCATTGAGATGTTTCAAATGTCAAAAATTCGGACACATTGCAGCAGTTTGTAAAGGGAAACAGAGGTGTGGAAGGTGTGCAGGAGAACATGAATATGGTAAATGTGGAAAAGAAGCTAAAATAAAATGCTGTAATTGTGGTGGAGAACATACTGCTGCTTATCGCGGCTGTGAAGCAAGCAAAAGGTCTGAAGAAATAAAAAAAATGAAATTTGAGCTTGGAATAACTTATGCTGAAGCTGCAAAAAGGATCCCATCTCAGTCAGAAAAACCCAAACCTACAGTTCAACACACGGCAAATTTCAAACCTCTAGAGAAATCTCCAAAAATTGATGAAGACTCACTAATTGTTAAAAAGACAAATTTTGTTCTTTTCATGGTGGAAGTGATTAATTGTACTGCTCAGACGACAAAAAAAACAGAAAAAATCAAAATAATAGTGAAGGCTGCAGAAAAATATCTGGATGTTAAAGATATGAACTGGGAGATGGTTGGAAGCATGATGGAAAGACCAATGGGACCATCAGAAACTGGCAGAGGTACGATGACCTAGAGTAAATTAAAATTATACGGGCAAATGTAATTTAGTATAATTTAGTATTATGTGGGTTTAAGTTACACAGGTTATTTTATTGTATTTTTTTTTTTTTTTTTTTTTTTTTTTTGGGGGGGGTGAATCGTTTCCTGTTTCCTTGCTTTACTCCATATCAGTTGGTGGCGGTAATGCACATTTCACAAGTTTGCCAACCGCCATAAAATCTCATAAGAAGAAGAAGGAACCAGGGTTAACCCCTTCACTGCACAGTTCCCCCTTATGTTACCTTTGCCCTAAAATCCACAATCCAGTTTTTTTAAAAAGCAATGTATTTATCTTTTTTACAGCACTTCAAGTTTTTGGTGGATGAGCTACAAGTCAAAGGGGAGGGCAAGGTTAAGAATGCAATGAAGGAGTCTTTCAAGGTCCTTAACGAGGTTTGTCCCTCTGCTTTGTGACATTAACTAAATGTTTTAACAAGTTTTATTACTGCAGTTGCTGGAATTTTAGAACAAGTTTCAAGCTTTGCTGTATAAATGCTTTGAAGTGCATTTTGAAATGATTAGTTATTTTTAGACATGTTTGTGGATGCATGTGTTCAGGCTGCTGCACAGGGGCAGGGCAGTCTATGCAACCAGGCCATCATGCTGATAACAGACGGAGCAATGGAGGATTTCAAGGATGTTTTTGAGGAGTTTAACTGGCCAGAGAGACGGGTATGAAATATATTGTCACTAAGATTGAAGTACTAAATGTGTTTGGTTTTCCAGAGATTAAGTGCTGCTTTTTTCTTTTTTTTTGCAGGTTCGAGTGTTCACTTATCTAATTGGCCGGGAGATGACATTTGCTGAAAATGTTAAATGGATTGCCTGCAACAACAAGGGTAAAGCTAAACATATATTTCTTTTTTTACTCTGTTTGGAATTTTTTTATTGAACAAACCTGCAGTTAAACCAGAAATCCTTAAAAATAGTTATTTAACAGGGATTTCCTAATTTTTAAGAGAAAACATAAGTGATGCCTTTTGTAACTAAGGATCAGATGCTGCCCTCTAGTGAAATGCATGTTGCTATGCATCAGTTCAGACCAGAAAGTAATCACTTAATCTTTTCAAAGCACATAAAACCTTTGACTACGTTATGGATTTTTTTGCACAAAATTTTTCCAAATGTAGCACTGGCCTAGAATTGTATCTGTGCCTGGGTTAGTGCTTTTGTGATGGGATAGAGCTGCAATTGCTGAGGTTAGTGTTCCGGTAGATGCTACCAACATCTGTTTTTGCTGACCTTTTATCAATGTGCCTTAAATTATGGATTCTTATTCATCCTTTGAGATAATAAACACAAACCGTATCCTGGAGATAGTAACCCCACAGGGAGAGTTGTTAGTGAGGTTCCTTGCTTCTTTAGCAGGGAATTGCAAGTTGACCAGTTATACAGGAAAAGGTTTAACAGCAAACAGAAGAAGGTGCTCTAGTCTAGTTTATGCTTGGATGTGAAACGTGTGCAGGAAATCTCACGCTCTGCGTAAACCTAACCATCTTTTATATAGCAGGAAACACGGTGGTGGCAGAATCACCCCGTTGGCATCATTTTCTTTCATAGATAACTGATGCAATCTAAAGAATGCAAAACATATCGAACTGGAAGTTTATCCTTTCACCTGGAAAAAGTCCCTAAATGTATAGATTTAGTTAAGTGCAGTTTTTAGTTTTAATAGCAAGTTTAAACAAAAGTATATACTGTAAATACTTTTTATATTTTTAAAATGATATATTTTAAAGTGTTTATGTATGTGAGTATTTTCCTAAGATGAACTCTGATTGTTCAGTGCTTTATTAAATATATAAAGAGGGCAGTGGCATTCTAGTTGTTGGGACATAGCGCTTGGAATCCTGAGGTTGTGAGTTCAAAACCCACTCCCAAAGGCTGCCACCCTGGGTCTCGGAGCAAGACCCTTAACCCCAGATTGCTCCCCAGCTGCCCCACTCTGGCAGCCCACTGCTCCCCAAAGGGATGGGTTAAATGCAGAGGTAAATTTCTCCAATTTGAGATCAATAAAGTTCAGTTATTATTATTATTTTTATTATTATTACCTTGAATAGAGTCAACTTGAAAAATACAGTAGGTCTATGAATTTGGGGATTTTTTTAAAATGCTAAACGTTAACATGACTGGAAAAATGTTTTGCATATGGTAACATAAATGTATTCAACAAAATATTTAATAACATAAGCGCTTAAAATAAATTTGGCATGATGAAAATATAGAAAGTTAACAAAATAAGAAATGAAATCAAATGGTACTAATTTGAAAAAACTATCAAAATGAAATAAAGTCAGATAAGTCAGATTATCCCTGGCTAGGAAAGATTGCGCATGACCAGCAGATTTCCAAAAGTAGTTCAACTGGGAAACCAATATGTTATTTTTTCTTCTAAAGCCTGATTGGTCATGGTTAGAAACTGTAAAGATTGGATTCTCTTCCCTGCAGGCAGCACGCTGAATAGATTTTATGATCTGTTATAGCTTTATCATTTCCAGACATATGATATCTGTATGAATGTGTTTATTCTGCAGGTTATTACACACACGTGTCCACACTAGCTGATGTTCAGGAAAATGTTATGGAATACCTCCATGTTCTCAGCCGACCAATGGTTATCAACCATGACCATGATATCATCTGGACAGAGGCCTACATGGACAGTGTGGTCAGTTTTCTTCCTGCTCACAAAATAGTCATCAAACATAGACATTAAATATTTTATGTTTTAAATACTAACATTTTTTGGTACAAAAACATCTAAAATCCATCACTGGAGTTTCATGCTATATGTTGTTTTATTTCTGTGTTTCTATGTCCACATCACCTGAGTAGCAGAAAATCTGATTAAAAGCTATTTGGCTCCCACCAGTCATTCTCTAGTCGCACACTGAAGGTTGTGCATGTGAAGCATTTAAAACCGGATAGATTTTGGGGTTTGATTAAATTAATCCACAGATTAAATAGATTAAATGGAACAATATTCTTTATGGTTATCTATTGCTTTAGTTTTGGAGATTTCTAAGTTCTCAAATAAATGTTATCACCTTTCAGAAATACTTTTTTTTTTTTTTTTTTTTTAGCTTGTTTAGCTTGTAACTGGTTGGAGTTTACAAATCGAAGTTAGAAGATCATTATAGAGTTAGAATGAAGGTTAGATCTTTGTCTCTATGTTTATATTAATGTGTATCATTTGTTTTCAGTTGCAGCCATATTTCTGTTTCCCATTTCCTCCTCACTTTTTCCTCTTTTCATTCATTGTTTTCATGGTCATGCATTTCTTTATTGTTTTTGTTCTCCTCTTATCCACCATCACCTTCAGCTTCCCAATAAAGATGAGGTAATCATAGTTAGACCTTTAGCTGCATCTTATCATCTTAGTTTATCCCGAGTGAACAATTTAGTCATGGTAATGTCTTGCTTAGAATTTGCTCCCAAATAACTTTTAGACACAGTTTCCTTACCTGTAGGGTTTCTGTTGTGCTCAAACGTTGTTTTCCTGAACTAAAGTTAGCCTTTACTCCAGACTATTTTATCTTTTAGAAATGGACCTTATAGTCTGCTAAACATTATTAGTCTTTGGTGTATATAAATATATAATATGTAAGCATATTTTGTCTCCCAAATCTGAAAATTGGAAAAATAAGCACCGTTTTGAAACACGCTTTATTCCCTTTTAATTTCCATCAACTTTATATTGATGTACAGTATTTTCATTGTTTGTTGTTTTTCCTCACATCTGCTTTGTCCACTTGGTTATGAGTTTGATGAATGTACCAAAGCATCAACTTTTAAAATGAAAAAAGTTAGAATATTGTCTTTGTGCTGCAGCTGTTCAACACTCAGGCACAGAGTTTGCTCCTGATGACATCAGTGGCCATGCCTGTTTTCAGCATGAAGGAAGAGACCGTAAGTTGATGTTTATCAGCTTAATGTGTGTTTTTGTGTATTTATTGATACATGAATATATTTCTCCTTTTGTCTGGATTGCACATTTAAGCAGGATCAATTAAAATATAAATGATTACAGATAATGTTTTAAATGTAGGCTCTAGATTTTTATAGAAAGTTGTATAAATGCAGGTCAAATGATTAGAATAAATAATTGCATTGGACTTGCTCTCTTGCTCTCTTCAGCTGTCTCATGGGATTTTGCTGGGTGTGGTAGGAACAGATGTGGCTTTGAGAGAATTGATGAAATTAGCTCCAAGATACAAGGTAAATCTGTGACTTTCATCCATTATCACTTTGAACATCAGCACTTTGGTCTTGCGGACACACAAAATATTTCACATTAGACCATTAATCCTGGAAACCCATAATGAGGTTCATAAACAATCTGCTTAAAGGTATAGTGGAGGTGGTGAATCTGACAGTGGAAAATTTGCAAATCTTCTTTTGGAAAGTAAGCTTGTATGAGCGATGCAAACAGCAGCATGTGTTTGATAGACATTCCCTCTCTGGAGCAGGTACAGGGTTTTGCATGAGCATTTTTATTTATTTATTTTTTTTAAGTGGAGAGGGTGGGTCTTTTCAAAAGTTTTTCAGGTCTGAATATGGAAAAAAATATCCCAATTCCAGTATGTATCTTTTCATGACTATTATGTGGGAACCATGTTCTACCTCATGCTGGAGGAGGACTCATAATGTTGTGTTCAGGTGCTACGGCAGGATGCTTGATTTAATTGGAATCTGGAGCAGTAACATCATAAATCAATGCTGGTTGTTTTCTAATCTAATCTCAATCTCTAATCTAGCATTTTACCCACTTTAAGTTTCTTTTTGAAAACTACATTAGCTTTTTAAATTTGTATCTTATGTCTTGCTTTAAGGGGGAAATATATTTTCAGAGGGTAAATCTAATTTAGATTTGACATTGTAGACATTCTTCAGTCGTGGTATTGGCATTAAGTCTGTATGGCATTGCTGACTTTAAACAGCAGTTTCTGCATGTATTTTTTTTATTATTTATTTATTTTACCATATATACAAATTCCATAGATGGATGGATGGATAAATACTCTATTAATGCCCAATAGGGGAAATTCCCCAGCGCGATATTGGATAAAATAGGATTAAAAACAAAACACAATTAAATTAAATAATAATAATTAACTCAGTCCTTTAAGAGGCATTAAGTTGTCTAATGGCGGCCAGGACAAAAGATCTTATGTATCTCCTTGTTCTGCTACAACTATGGCTGCTTTCCTGAGCCACCATAGTACTGTGCAATGGATGGCTCCCATAGTTCCTAAGGACTTAATCAGTGCCCTAGTCCTTTCTTTCACCAGTTCCTCCATAGGGACTGCCTCCCTCCCCATCCCTTCCACACACCTCCTGATGAACTTGTCTATTCTGCTCCTGTCCCTGCTATTTATGCTGTTTCCCAAGCAAACAAACCCCAAACATAACAGCACTGGCCGCAACTGACTGATAAGAGGAAAAGCATGTCCCTACACACATCAAGCGACCCAAGTTGTCTGAGGAAGTAGAGCCCCTTTTTGTATGCTGCATTTGCCTGCACTGACCAGTCTAAATTAGGTGGATTCTGAGGTACTTATATGTGGAGACCACCTCGATTTTCTCAACGTCCGTGATGACGGGTCTATGTTAAGCTCTACTCTTGCTAAAGTCCACAGTCATTTCCTTTGTTTTTCTGGTGTTTAGCACCAGTCCATTGCCTTTGCTCAACTGTAGGAACTCATTGATCACAGCTCTGTACTCTAATTTGTCCAAATCATCCCCACCCTTCAACCAGGCCACCATAGCTGTATCATCAGAGTATTTCTGAATATGGCATATTGGTGTCATATAGGCAAAGTTCGATGTATAACCTGTGGAGAGGAATGGGGAGAGGACAGTTCCCTGAGGAGCAAACCAGACACACACCAGAATAAATGGATGGTTATTCAGGGGACACTGTCTTGCAATGTTTTTGATTCTAGACAATGTGGTAACAAAGTAAATCTACTTGATTATTGTACTTAAGTACTTATTTTTAGTATCTTGAGTATTTATTGACGGGGTACTTATAACTTTCACTCCACTACATTTCAAAGTCAAATATTGTACTTTCTATTCCTCTTACATTTCTAGGAAGCTGCTAGTTACTTGTTACTTTTGGCTCAGCTTAGCTTTTTTAATCCACTGTTGCTGTTTTCCTTTCTTAAGCTTATGTTTAGAGATGTGCATGACGTTCCACAAATGTAACAAACTGGGCAGATTTAATTTGCTGTTTATACAATTGATCACGCTGTGAGTTCTTCATTAGGATGAGTTATAAAATCCATGTTGTAGTTTCTTTGTGGTATTAGATTCAACCTTAAATCTCTATTCCATAGTGAAAGTGGGAGGAGAATTAAGGCATACCCATTTTCTTTTTGGTTTGTATTTAAATAAGAGATGATAATCATAATAGCTGTCTTTTTGTGGCATTTTTATACTGAAGTTCGTCACAATTGGTCTAGAATCTGTAGCAATTGGTTCTATGAATCAATACATCAGGTTTCTGAAAGTTTTTTTATTTGTATTTTTGAATACTTAAGTAGTTTTAAATCTATGTACTTTTGAATACTAGTATTTTCAAACATGAGTACTTTAGCTTGTGTAAATGTTTGACCAAGTAACTTTTACTTGTAGTTGAGTAATATTTGACTGATGATTGTAAAGCTTTGAACGCTATTGTGCCTTGCAGCATTGTTGGATAGAAAACTTTTACCTGTTGTTAACCTTAATATTATGGAAAGTTTCTGTTGACAATATATATTTGCACTCAAGTATGCTGCCTTCACTGATGGCCAAATTTCCCAAATGGGACCCCTAATCATTGACAGTAGACTAAACGTGACGTTATTGGAGTCTTTTTGTCTTAATCCCTTCTTTTTTTTTTTGCAGTATTTCTTTATGCCGTTAAGTAAGATCTTGTCTTTGCATAAGATTCAGTATTGTGGTTTATCTGAATGTGTTGGTTGGTTTTATAGTTGTAGCTAATCTCTTTATATAACATCATGAAAGACTGTAACATGTCCTGTATTGCTCGAACAGTAAGGAGTTTTCTGCTTTTCTGTCCTTCTAGCTCGGTATCCATGGTTACGCCTTCCTCATCACCAATAATGGCTACATCCTGTCTCATCCAGAACTGCGACCTCTGGTACAGGCAAAGCTTTCCTTCTCATTCTAAAGCGAATTTTGAATTTTTATTCCAGCGTCCTAAGTAGTGAAGTCCTGTGTGTCTGATCTGTTCTTTGGCTGCAACAGTATAAAGAGGGAAAGAAGCTGAAGCCTAAACCAAACTATAACAGTGTTGATCTATCAGAGGTGGAATGGGAAGATACTGAAGTGAAGGTAAGAAAAGGACACACGATTGTGTCGTTTTTGTTTTACTTTATAAGTAATGGTATTAAGATGAGCTTAAGCTAGACTCCTCTGATTAACTTTCTGTTTCCAGCTAAGGACAGCCATGGTCAAAGGAGAAACTGGAACACTGTCTTTAGATGTGAGGTCTTCAGTGGATAAAGGAGTAAGTTCTTTGCTTTTGCCTTTATCAAGCAGCTGGTTTTATTTATTCTTATTTTATATTGTTTCCAGACTTGGTACTTTTTATTCTAAGTGACTCTTTTTATTTGTCATATAAATGGATTGATATCATGGATTAATAAGTATAAGGCTTTGCTTTTTCAGCCTACATGGTGTCCAGCCTCACCTGCATAATGATTTTAGTAATTCCATAGCATTAAATGTTTATTTTCTTTTTTTGTTTTTTGCAGCGGAGAGTGATCTTCTTAAAGAATGATTACTTTTACACCGTCATAAATGAGACGCCATTCAGGTTTGTCTGCTAGTTTCTGCCTCTAGTAGTTGCTATACTTGCAAAATTGTTCATAGCTCTTTTTTTTATGTTACCCTACCCATATGTTGCCAGTTTATGCTTGTGTGTTATGGATGGATCGATGGATGGATGCTTTATGAATCAACTGCCTGATGTTTTCACCATTGTTTAATTTGATAGATCTTTTCCCCTGTTTTTATTTAAACAGTCTTGGAATAGTCTTGAGTCGAGGTTATGGAGAGTATATCTTTACAGGAAATGTCTCTGTAGAGGAAGGTAGGTGTTATGTTTTAAATAAAAAGCTTTTTATTTTAGAAAAACAGAACAAACCTTAAAAATGTATGTTTCCTCTTTCTGTGTTCCTGTTGAGGTCTTCATGATCTAATGACTCCAGATCTGACCCTAGCCAATGAGTGGTAAATATCTCTGACTCTATTTGTTTTGGCTGTTTCAAAGGAAAAGTCTTGTGCCTCATATTAAAATACTGATCTCTACATTTCTGTGTTTGTAGGACCTATTGTGAGATAGATATTGACCCAGCGCACCGTAAACTGACTCAGCTGCAAGCTGTGATTAAATACCTGACTGGGAAGGAGAAAGATCTGCGCTGTAAGCTTTGAAAGAATATTATCTACCTAGGAAAATGGAAAAGTGATTTTCTTTGAATGGTTTCGCTTTTTTCTGGCTTTTTCTGCAGGTGATGAGCAATTATTGCAACAGACTCTTTTTGATGCTGTGGTTACAGCACCTATGGAGGCATACTGGACCGCTCTCATGCTAAACACATCTGGGTGAATAAAACAAATTATCAAGACGTGAAAATTCTCTTTAAAAACCTGATTTAGGCATCAAGCCTTATTTTTACATGCTTTTATAATAAATCTAACCTTTTCAGTGTCATTAGCCTCTTTTACTTTTCATGTGTTTTTGCCTTTCTGCTCTTCCAGAGTGGAAGACGGTATTGAGACCGCTTTCTTGGGGACTCGCTCAGGCTTGCAGAGGTTCCTGAAGTATAGTGGTATTGAAAAAAGAGTTGGAAAGTTAGTATTAAAGCACTTATTTTGGTTTATATCATGCTGTATAATGCTTTTCAGATTTAAAAGCATATCTGCCCAGCAGTCAGACATGTTATGGCTTCTCTATTAATTTCTTTCTCTGATCCCCCAAACTGAGGTTGTTTTGATCACATAACTACTGGTAAGCTACTTGCTACCATTCTGGTCCCGAGATAGTCTCGAAATATGTGGCAATATTCTTGATTCGGATTAACTTTCCAGGTCTGAGTAACTATTAAAATGGTTTAGATATGGAAAACTATTTGTTACTTCCCTATTTTATTTTCTATACTATTACCCAAAAATTGTCTCTACATCAATTTATTTTTACATTTTCTAACAGTCAACCTATCCATCCACCCATCGAAAGTGTCTTGCAAAAGTATTCGCCCCCCTTGAACTTTTTGATCTTTTGCCACATTTTAGGCTTCAAAAACAAAGAAATAAAAACTTTAATTCTTTGTGAAGAATCAACAACAAGCAGGACACAATCATAAAGTAGAACGAAATCTATTGGACATTTGAACCTTTTTTCTCTAATATTTGCATATAGAAATTTTAGTTGGGGACATTTTTAACAGATATAGAGGTAATCCAATCATTGTTTTACATTTTAAACTTTTTACACATCCAGCACTTTTTATTTTTTGTTGTTTTTCTTTTTTTTCTTTTTTTTTTTTTTTTTTTGGAGTTGTAGCTGCTTTAAGGTAAAGCAGAAATGGAAGAGGAAAGTACTAGCAATAGCACTTGTCACTTTTTGGTCAGATATATTTTGGCATCTGCCTGCGAATTAAACATTTTCCCCAAGGAAGTATTTTTGAAATATCACTTTTAGATGGTTCTAATTTTTGGTTTCTTGGGGGGAAAAAAAAGAAATTAATGACTAAGCGTAATACTTTTGCATATTTAAGCTGCTGTTTTTCAACATCTAGAACTGCTTTAATGTTGATTGAATTAGTTTCAGTTGTACATAAAATTGTATAAAATGTTCATAAAATTGCTGGTTGGATTTCTTGGAAAGCATTTTTTGCAGTGGGGGTGTGTACCAAATCCTTTTAATCATCTGTTTGTGTCTCCAGGTCTTTCCTGACCTCCACAGATAAGGAGAATATGTTCACATTGGACCATTTCCCAGTGTGGTACCGCAGAGCAGCAGAGTACCCAGCAGGACAGTTTTTGTACTACATGCCCAGACAGGATACAAGAGGTATTGGGCTGACCTTTTTCTTTACAGTTATGACACGAGGAATACATCTCAATATTTATCATTTCTGTATTTCTTACCTATACAAAAATATTTTCTTACCAATATAAAGTTAAATGTATTACTGCAACGTTTAGCATCCTACAGCTTTTTAATTTATTTGCCTATATGGGCATTTATGTAGGCGCTATCAAAGGGAAGTTATTTGTTCATGTAGTTTTAAGATTTCCATTATCTTGATGCTCTCATTATACTTAATTTGACAGCAGATTGCAAAGGAAACAAATGATGTTCGTTTTATGATGATCTGACTCAAAGAGAGTTAGATGTATGTGTACATTTTAAAATTGGTCATGTTAAAATCCCTGGGATAAAACAAAACTTTTTTCATATTTTATCCCATGATAAACAAAAATACCTGTGTGAGGTTTCCTACAAATAACAAACTTTTTTATACGTCAGACCATATACAAGCAGTTACCTTCAGAAGTTATTCTATTATGGAAATACTGTTTATATTAATGTCTGCATAAGTGCTGCGTTATATACACTCAGTATGACATCTGATCAGGTGAGACTAAAAGATATATTTTATCTACATGCCAGATGTTTGACAAAAAAAAAGAAGTTCAGCTCAGCCTAAGCACACCATCCCCATAGTGAAACACAGTGGTAGTGGTAAAATGCTAGATTATCTGGTTAAATTATCAAAGACTCTATTATGGATGGAAAATTGCCCACAACATGTCAGAGAAACTGAAATGCTTTCATTAAAGTGGGTCGAGTCCAAGACCAGACTGAAATCTCAGTTGAGAATTGTGGCAACAACTGAAACCTAATCTTAATGGCACACTCTGAGAATGTTGTTTTTAAAAAGAAAAATGGGTAAAAAATGAGAATCCGATGGGTTTGCAAGAATGGGAGGGACATGCTCCCAAAGATTTAACTGTAATAATAACAAAAGGTAATTTTAGAAAGTGTCGACTCTGGAACACTGATTACATATATACAGAACTCAAGTTTAACTTCTTAGTTTTCAAATTGAATATTCAGTTCCTTTTACTTCACAAACACAAAATACTTGGACATTAGTAATTGTAATGTGAATAATAAGCTTTGGCAAGGCAATGTAAATTCTTTAAAGAAAGACTACTAAGGTTATCTTAAATAGATTTTAAACCTAAAGCAGATTTTATTTATTATAAAATTATTTTTTTTTAAACATAATCACTTCTCAGGTTGTTTGTTTTATACAAATTCAGATTTATTATTAATGAAAAATATTGAAATAGATTTAAATGTTTTAGGGCATTGGTAAAAAAGGAAGTGTGATCTTTCAGATTTATTCAGGGACTATGAGGCTGACTATAGCACCACCTTCAGTTCAGAAGAGGTGGACGACCATGTTGAGGAGCAGGGTAGAGAACTGCTAATTATACTTGGCATGCCTCCACTTTATATCCTAGCCTCTCCCTGTTTTTTCTTGCTCTTGTTTATTTTCAGCTTTGCTCTGTTCCTTCTTTAATTTGGTTTTCCACTCACAGAGCATGACATTAGAACGATTACCTGCTGATCATCTGCTAGACAGAGATTGTTTGTTGCTTCAATTTGACAAATCTTTACTTTGTTTTTCAAATAAATCTTAATTAGAACAGTGCCTGAGATTGTTTTCAAATGCATATTGTCTATCAAAAAAGTTGTTTACAGAAAATATGAAGTGAGGCCACATGGACTCCTAAAATGCCCAAAATTGTTCCTTTGGTTGTGAATGTTATTAAATTAACTCTCCTAATCCTAGTTATGTAACACTAGAAATGGTAATCTGACCAGATTCTGAGGCTTTGTAGCTGTCGGCATCTGCTGAAGGCTGCAAATAGATGCAAAATAAATGCATGAATCCACTTAATGTTATTTAGCATAATGCAAGTCCTTTTGCCACACACACCTTTTAGATTTTGGCTCAACAAATACTTCATCCAAAAGTATCAAATGCTGCCTTAAAAAAATCTGTATTGCACATGCATGTACAGTCTGCATGCAAAAGAAGAATGCATGCATTTATTGGTCTAATGCATAAAACTGAACATTTCTCGGATTTCCTTTTTAAGATTTTTTTTTCTCTTATTCTATCAGCAGGAAGAATTGTGATTAGCGCCACTGCTGTGACTGTGACAGTAGGAAAGAAAACCACCATTGCCGGAGGTAGGGCAACAGTTTTACTTCCTCGAACGTTAAAATGAGAAATTTTTCGGTTGGTAGTAAGAATAATAAAATGGAAAAAAGAATAATGCAACCTGAAACCACATGTATGTGAGCTTGTAAAGTGTTTGGTTAAAAAGTGCTGAATTTCGGGACATATTTCCTACATAATCCTGTTGAGTTTTTATATTTAAACTTTGAGAGGAGTCCAGAAAATACGATATGCATGTGATGATTCCAGTGCTTGCAAGTCAGTTTAACTGGTGACACGCCAGTACCACACAGCATTAAGCTCGCTAGGTTCAGTGCAAGGATTTTCACTGTAGGTCCAGTATTTGTCTAGACATTCTGTACATTTAAAAGCTGACTATACTTAGAGCTGCATTGAGTTTGAGTCCCTGACTGTTGTTAATGCAATCTATCGGCTTTGCTTAAAATGGCTTGTATGTGCTCTGCAGTAGCAAGATAGTAGCCCTGTTATGTTAATGGCTCAGTTGGAGGCATTCTGCCAGATTTCCTTACATTACAGAAATTAAACTCCTCGCTGAGGAAGGTCTCTAAAAAAAAATGGGAGAAAAGAGGAGCAAGATTACATTCAGCAGGGCTCTGGTTTCTTGGACTGAGTCGCTAGTTTTTTTTTTTTTTCTATCATTGCTTGATTTTTTTTTCTGCTTGGTTTGGTTCAAAAGATAAAGTTGTGGTAATATGAAAAACATTACCCACACTTGAGCGCTCTCACAATAATGTTTAGACATGCAAATCACTTGAAACTAGGAGAGGAACTGCAAGCAAAGTACATTTTACATTTGTTTTTTATTGTTTATATTTGTGTTTTATGGTATGCTTTTCTTTTTTCTATTCTGTTCCTGCATGACATTTTAATCTTTACCAGGGTGTGTATGATGACTCCTCTGAAGTAAGAGTCAACACACTGCTGAGTTATGGCAAGGAAATGTTTAATACATGCAGGGCATTCTCTCTTGAAGACCAGATAAAAAAAAGAAACAAAACACTAGATTAGATGAAAGCAGGTGAAACTATGGCAGAGAAGCAATTTTTTTGAAATATTTTGGTTGTAGTGGTTCAATCTACTGGACCGTTGAGACCTGATTATGTTGTAGAGTATGAATACCAATACAATGAGAGTAACAGTAATAGTACAGTAGTCTTTAAAATAATCATTAAGGTATATAGTAAGTTGGATGGTGGTATGTTGTTCTAAATTAATCATTTTTGTTTTTCCTGTCAGATCAAAACAATCTTTTTAACATTAATTTTAGTTATAAAACACTCTGTGATTTGCTGTTTCTTTAAGAAGTGGGAAGCTGCTGGCCCTTCATTGATTGTTTGTATATCAATAGCTGGCTTCTGTGCTACAGTTTGGTTAATGGTCTGAAGAAGCATTTGCCTGTAATGCCACTGAAATGTTTTCTATGGGATTTTTTTTCAGACTTTATTCCCTTTTGTATAAATGTGGTAGTTCAATCTATTGTACTTCTTTATTTTCCCTTTCTTCCATAACTTCCTTGAGTGTAGCATTACTTCTCTCCTATATTGATATTGTCTATCTTTGCACCACTGCTATTTTCTCTCTCTGTCCCTTCCTTCCTTCCTTTATTTCTTTTCTTGGGCATGCCCCTCAATCTTTTACTTTAATCTTTTACCTATCATTTTTTCTTGTACTCCTAAATTCGTCTTTCTGTTTTAATGTCCTTCCAGCCATCTTTCCTTGTCTAACCCTCGTTATTTCCCACCCCATCCTTTCCCCTTTGTAGATTCAGATGCATCACTATCCTTTTAAACCAACTCAAGCATCTTTCTCTGCCTCTCCAGCTAAACTGTCAGACCTAACTCTCTTCACTTTGGCAGATCTTGCTCTGCCTCTCTTCCTCTTGTTACTCTCCGTTCTCTGTCATGTCCCTCTCTAAACTTCCACTCTGCTTCTGTTTTTCACTGCTGTAAGTTAAGGAGGTTTTCGTGTATAAAACAAAAAGGAAATCAAACATTCAGAAGCTGACTGAATGAAGAACAAGCACACACAACAAAAAAAGCTGTACTTTGTCTAAATATGGCAATCTTTTTTTTTTCTTTTTTTCAGCATCTAACTACTCTGCTTACTCAGCTGATTTACGCTCCTCAGAACTTTAGGCTTATATGTGTAGAAGATATTGGGATTGTGTTTATGGAAGTTAGTTCCTTCTATCAGTGGTATAACATTACTTCAAATTACAAACTTGCTTTGAACTGTACGTGGTTAAACTGATGGACGAAAGCTGTCACAACTTTCCAATTTTCATCAAGTCCAGGCAGAAAATTATGTACACAAGTTCTAGTGATTGGGTACAAGGATATTTGAAATGAAAAGACCTCTAATAGCACATTTGAAGCTGAAACATTTTTTGAGCCATAAACTCTACGATAAAATGTTTTTCATTGTAGATGAGTAATTTCCAAACTATATTTAACTACAAAAAAATCCTTATTAAGAATAGAAAATCCCTTTATTGTCCCACAATGGGGAAACTGTTGATTATTTCACTCCGAGCTGCTAGTTTCTTACTTTAAAAGATTAAATTTTTTCACTGTTAGAAAAGAAAAGGAATATTTACTAGAAATGTTTCAGCGGTTATGGATGTGTGGTCAACTTAGTGGCATGCTGAGATAAGATGCATTCAACTATTTAGCTTTAAACACTCTCTATGCAGCAAATATGTGTGGGGGAGCCATTTATCATACCCTGCCAGAAATGTATACCTTTTTGTTGTTAGGATCAGATTTCATCCAGTCATGTGACCTCCTTGGCCAAACCAGTGGGAGGAATCAAAGCCACCTTTGGTCCCTCCTAACTCTTTGTTAAATTTCCAGTACCGGTGTATAAATTCCAGTCCTCCCCACCACCAGTTAGAACTGAAGAAGCATCTTGTATGAGACGCAAAACGTCTTCTAGAAAACTTCACGTCCACTTGCTTAGACCAAACTTGACAATTGCCTGGATGACTGAGAATCTTCAGTGACAGCCTCATGACAAATTAAATATTTTAGATAAATAAAAAAAGCACCTCAAAACTAAGGAAAAATGAGCACCGTTTTTACCATAACTAGGAAAGGTCCCACATTTAGGGAGTAAACAGCACATGGGTCTTAGAATATGCTAGTTTCTTTTTGTTTTTTTGTGTCCTCTGTTTGCAAAAACCCATTTGCTCATGTCTGAAGTTTGACTGAGTTACATGTAGCTTCATCTGCTTTTTTTTGTTTTTCTCCAAGTGTCTGATCCAAATTAATGAGGTGTTTGACTGCATCTATATTGTGATTGGACTGAATCAATTAAACACGCATAGCATTAGCGCAACATTACTTTTTTTTTTCCAGAAATGGATCAGATATAAAGTTTTAGTGTTCATGTACCACTTGAATGAATAATTTAATGATTGCTTTAGAGGTTCTTCCATAGGGTTCTGGTTTAAAGGTATCAAACATAATGCACTAGGCAGCATGTTTCCCCAATTTGTCCCCTTCATTTGAGGAATATTAATGATATTAACTCAGTTTATGATGCAACTTTGCTACAGCTACTTTGTTTTAGTTTTTTTTTTTTTTTTTCTTTTTACCAATAGCATACATTTACAAGATTTCCTTGTCCCGTACACATCATCATAATTATTGGTAGTTTTCAACTGTTCAACTGTTGTTTACCAAAACTTTCGCTTTGTTCTTAAATTTTTGTTATGGAAATAAATAGGTCTTTAGCCATAAAACTGAACCAGGAACGATATTGAACATTTTTTAGAATGATGAAAAATTACTTTCATTGTTGGACATTTTTTAATCTGATTTAGGTTGTGGTTCTTTTCGTGACCACATAGTGTCAGTGTTTTTCTGAACATAAAAAGGCCTGTTATTAATGTCTTTATATCCTTCCATGTTAAAACCTCCATGCTATTTTGGTTGTTGATTTAATTTAACCTTCTCCAATGAAGGCCAGTGGTTGCATCTGTTGCAGGATGATCCAAAACCAGATTAGTTTATCACGGCAACACAAAAGTCAAGCTGTATGTGAAAAAATATCTCCCTACTCCATACAAGGGCACTAAGACAAAAATATTTAAGAGAAACGGATGCATCAGGGTAAGCGGGGGTGCAGCAAATAAAAAGGAATTGAAAAAGACATGCAATAAGGCCTAAAGAATTCAGTTAAAGAAAAAGAGTTAAATTATTGAAAAAAAAAAATGATGGCAGAGGAGGTGACAGGAAAAGAAATTGAGGTGAGATCACAGAGTGAAAAGGATGAAGAAAAAAGATTAGAAATAGAAAGACAAGAGCAAAGAATAAACTTGGTTGTCTGGCATTTATTCAATCTAAAATCATCGCTTATTTGAAAATTTCAGACATTTCTTTCTGCAGAGAAGAGAATTTCTTCAAACTTTAATGAGAAAATGTAATTTTGTATGGACATAGTTGACCCAGGAGTGATATGTTTTTATTTAAATCAAAGCGTCTTGACCAGGAAAAATGCTTCATTACCATCAGCATTGCAATCAATCATCTTTACAATCATCTTAACACAACACCCTTTATTTCTGAGCTGTGTGTCGTTACCAAGGCCCTCAGTCGTCATAGCTGCATTTGCTGCTGCCTTGTTCATGTAACAAACTATGATTTATTATTCATTATACACAGCTATAGGAAGAGGATTAAGAAAAGATACTTAGCTACTGACATCAACAAGACCTACTGAAGAAGGAGTGAGCGGAAAATGTCTTTGGATCCATAGACAGAGTTTAGTTGGGATCGCTGAAGGGGATCTTTAGCATGACAAAAGGGAATGTATATGTGCACGTGTGTGTGTGTGTGTTTGTGTGTATTTATATGTGCAAAATTTTACACCACTGTATATAAATATGTACTTTTTTTTAACCTATACATATGTTTTGCTTAAGATATCATGGGTCTGAGTTTGCAGTATGGCTAGCTTCATGTTTATTATAGCATATCTTTCTAACAAT